GCTAAGTAATGGGGTTAAGTGACTTGCCCAGAGTCACACAGCTAGTAAATGTTACATGTCTGAGGCCAGATTTGAACTCCGGTCCTCCTGAATCCAAGGCCAGTGTTCTATCACTGCGCCACCTAACTGCCCCAACTTCCATACATTCTTAATGAAAATACCAGGGCTGTGGAGAAGCTTCAAAGTTCAAACAGAAGAGGGGAGAGAAACATAAAAAGGCAAAAATGAATGAACACTGATAAAGGACTAAACAAGGATAAATTGCTTAACATGGCTAATAGAGAAATAAGTTTTGCATGATTTCACATGTATAATCTATATAAAATTGCTTGCCTTCTGATGAAAGGGGGAGAGGAGGGGAGGGAAGGAGAGAATTTGGAACTCAAAATTTAAAAAAAGTTAAAAAATTTTACATATAATTGAGAAATATTTAATGAAATAAAAATACATTGGGAGGAAGATAAACTGTTTACATTGAAATATGGAGAGATTCAATTCAATAAACATTTATTAAGCACCTCTTTTGTGCCAGGCACCTCTAAGCGCTAGAGTGCAGACAGAAGCAAAAGATAGCCCCTACTCTCAAGGAGTTTACAATCTAATGGGAGAGGCAACTTGCTAACAAATATATATAAAGCAAGCTATATACAGCATAAATAGGAAACAATTAAAAGAGAGAAAACTCTGAAATTAAAAGGGACTGGGGAAGGCTTCCTGCAGAAGGTAGAACTCTGTTATCGTCAGGATTCATAGAGGGAGCTCAGTTAGACTGGGATCCAAGGCCTGGAAATGGTTCTGTTATATTTTGATGATCTTAAGGAAAGAATGGAAAGGGGTCAGCCGGGTGGTACAATGAATAGAGCGCCAGACCTAGAGTCAGGAGGATCTAAGTTCAGATCTGGCCTCAGATGCTTGACACTAGCTGTGTGACCCTGGGCAAGTCACTTAACCCCAACTGCCTCGACCAAAAAAAACAAAAACAAAAAAGAATGGAAAGGAATACATTTGGAAGTTGAGGAAGAGAGGAAGATTAGGGAAAATTATCTCACAGTCAGGATCCACAAGTAGACATGTACAAGCAAGGAATCAGTAAGACATGAGGTCAGATTTGACCTCAGATACTTAGTAGCTTGGTGACCCTAGGCAAGTCACTTCACCTCACCTCTGTTTCCTCAATTTTAAAATGAGTACAATAACAGCACAAAGTAGTTATGAGGACTGAATGAGGTAATATTTATACAACACTTAAGCCCAGTGCCTGGTACATAATGAGCACTATATAAATGCTTATTTCTACCATCACCACCACCATTCACACACACTCACGCACTCACACTCACATACTCTCCCTCTCTCACTCAAAAGGGAAATAGAAGGAATTAGAGGGAGGAGAGGTTAAGGGAGAGATTAGTCCTAAGCAAAACAAACTCCAAGCAAGTACAAAAATATTTATACATCTTTGAGGTGGCAAAGAATGGGAATCTGAGGCGTTTCTATAAATTGGAGAATGAATGAGCAAGTTGTAGAATATAAATGTGATGAAATACTGTCATGCTGAACTGTTATCAGTATGATAATCAACCAGGATTCCAGAGAACTAATGATGAAACATGCTACCTACCTCCTGATAGAGAGGTAAAGGACTCAGAATATAGAATGAGACATATTTTAGACATGGCCAATGTGGAAATTTGTTTTAATTGACTCTGTATTTGTAGTGGGTTTTGTTTTTCTTGTGTTCTCAGTTGGGTTGAGGGGAGAAGTTGAGAAAAGGTGAAAAGTTAGGTTTTGGATGATTAAATTAAATTAAAATATTAAAAAAAAAAAAGATTCAATGAGGAACTACAATAAATTGCACCCCAGAACTACTCAAAAGTCAATCAGAACCTTCTCGCTAAAGGAACGGGTGCTGTTAGCAAAACTAATGCCAGCATAGGGAAGCAAGTTTGTAGCTTCCAGTGTGATCCGAGAAATGCTACAGGCAGGTGTAACCTGTAAGGATCTGTGTCTCAAAGCAACAAGAGCAAAGGACTCTCCTACAAAAGCCCCAAAATGGGGTGGACACAATCCGGCAGGAGGAACCTGGAAAGCTACCAGAAGAGGCAATCAGTGCACCGCAGCAGCAATCATCAGGAAAGCCCCAGGGCTCTGAGGTCTCGAATACTCTGCCCCAAAATATGATAGTGATCCCTGAATAGCCAGTATTCTGAACCTTACAAATGCTGAGGGGCTTAACCCTGGGAGGTAGAAGTCAGCCCAGGTGACCCCAAGCAAGGCCAAGTAGGGCTTCTCTGCAGTGGGGGGCAGAGCCTGGTCTTGGCACAGTACCCCAGTTCAGAAAGTAAAGGTGGGAGAGATACAAAAAAAGTGACTACCAAGTTGAAAAAAAAATTGTAGATTTGGAGTTAAAGGAGATGTATAAGAGAGGTGTTGTGAAGCTATAGAGGACAGTATTTGACAAGAGATTGTGCATGTGAGATAAATGCAAGTGAGGAGTTGATGATAGTCAGGGTGTGAGTCTGGATGACTTGGAGGATAATGGTGCCCCTTACGTTAATAGGAAAGTTGGGTTCTGTTTTGGCCATAATAAATTTGAGATGTTTATAGGACATCCAGTTCGAGATGTCCAAAAGGCATTTGGTGATGCTAGAAGGGGAAAGCTGGGGGTGTGTGTGTGTGTGTGTCTGTGTCTGTGTCTGTGTCTGTGTGTGTGTGTGTAAATTCTTAAAAATTTACAGGCTCCCTAAAATCTATCCATGGACTCCTTTGGAGCCTGTGGACTCCAAGTAAACCCCCTCACAGAGAAAAAAGAGAAGGTGTCTTGAGTTGAACATTTAAGGGAAACACATTTACTGGGCATGCTGTTAGATAAAGATCTAGAAAAGGAGACTGAGAAAAGAATGTGATGTAGTCATAAGCAATTTTGCTGTTCTGGATTGTCCTCTGAAACTTCTCCATCATACTCACATCCTCTCTGAAATGTGGTACCCATAACTGATGATCACAGTATTCCAGATGTTGTCTGACCAGGGAAGAGTGCAATAAACCAGTCACCTCCCTGATCCTGAATAGCATGCCTGACTTTTTTGGTTCCTGTATCACACTGTTGGGGATTTGTAGTGAACTTAGAGTCTACTTAAGTCCAATATTGGTGGAATTGTAAACTGTAATATTTTTAGAGAATGGAACTATCAGTGTCATTTGACCCAGTTCCGTTACTGGGAATATGCCTTGATGAATGTTATTAAAAACTAAATAAAAACTTTCTTTCAAAAATTTACATAGCAGAATTATTTGTAATTAAAAAAAAAAGACTAAAGGCAACCTGTATGTCTGACAATAGGAAAATTATTAAATACATTTTGGTACCTTAATAAAATGGAATGCAGTTACCATAGAAAAATAGGAGGAATATAAAGAAATTTGACAAAACCATGGAGGAATTTGTCGGATACTAATGCCCCCTCTAGTTAGCCTACTGGCTTTTATAAGTCAGTCACCAAGCATTTATTAAGCACTTAGAATGATTTTCTAGGCACTAGGGATACAAAGACAAATGAAACCATCTAGAGCTTACATTCTATCAGGGGAATCAATGTGTGCATAAATAAATATATATATTACAAAATATGTATGAAGTAAAATTTTTTGGCAGGGATAGGTGCCAACAACTTGGGGTATCCAGGAAAGACAATGTACAAGGTGCCACTTCAACATAGTTTACTGGTTTTTGTTCAAACAAATGGTTATGTAATATTCACTTATGATGCTATTCAGTAAACATTCATGGAGGTTGTGTAGATACAAATTTATATTAGACACTGTACAAAGGAAGATATAAAATAAAACAAGAGTCCCTTCCCTCCAAGAACATGTTTTCTCATATACATTTTCACATGTTTTTATGAAATAATAATAACTAGTTTTTTATGTAAAGATCTGTTTTTGTATTGAATGGTATAACTTTTAATGGTGTTTATAAGATTATTATTGTTTTTTAGGTATTACATGAAACCTTCCCTAAACATACATTTCTAATGAATGGCCTCATTCAAGGAGTAAAGGTAGGATCAATTTTTTTATTCATATAAACACACACATTCACACAGAGCTGTAAACAGACTGTAGTAGAAATTTTAAATGTTACTTTATTTCTCGTAATTTTTTGTAGCAAACAGTGGTGTTTGGTGAACTGCATAATTTCTTGTAGACGACACTTTTTGTATCTACTGTGTAGTTTTTATAACTGATAACATAATTTCTCTTGCAACGTATCCACCTTTGAAATTAGCCATTTTATGACAGAATGCTGTATTTTTCATTTGTTGGGCATCTTTCCAGAGATTTTTTTTTAATAAAGAAATTAAGATTGTAGAAGTAGAAACAAAAAGAATTCTTGGACCTTCTGTATACGGCATAGATTTCTCAGTGATGTACTCTTTTTATTCTAGGTTAGATTTGATAGTCACTTTTAGAAATATCAAGTACAGTAACATTTCTCTTAACATGTGCCAATTCTCATGGAATTGATCATAGTGATAATCTGTCATGATTCAGAATTCAGCTAGATCTTTTTGTTTGACTGTTGGAGTCCTTCAAATGGTTACTATTGTCTGAACTATTTCCTTCCTTCCAGAATTTTGATAGAATAGGGGCAGCTAAGTGGCGCAGTGGATAGAGCGCTGGCCCTGAAGTCAGGAGGACCTGAGTTCAAATGCGGCCTCAGAACAAACACTTGATACGTACTAGCTATGTGACCTTGGGCAAGTCACTTAGCCCTGATTGCCTCACTTAAAAAAAAAAAAGGCAACAGAATTTTGATAGAAGATGAAGAAAATAGAAATTATTTTCACCCATGTAAAGTTGTGTTTCAGAATCAAAACTTTGGGGTTTTTTTCTTAGTCTTTTTCGTTTGTTTGTTTTTAGGCAGTTAGGGTTAAGTGACTTGCCCAGGGTCACACAGCTAGTGTCAAGTGTTTGGTCAGAGGCCAGATTTGAACTCAGGTGTTCCTGACTTCAGGGCCAGTGCTCTATCCATTGCGTCACCTAGCTGCCCCTTTTCTTAGCCTTAATAATACTACCAGGGTTGTTGTTATTGTTGTTGTTTCAAATGTGTTCATGAAATATAATGTTTCTCTGAAGGACAATATTAAATTATAGTGACTGCAAACTTGTTATATTGGATACTTTATTATAATTTACATATACAGTATGTCATATTTTTTATGTGAATAAAATGACTAGAATGTTTATATGAATTTGTGAAAGTCATTTTTAAAAATTGTTTTAGGGATTATTGTCATTCCTCAGTGCCCCTCTTATTGGTGCTCTTTCTGATGTTTGGGGTCGAAAGTCCTTCTTGCTGCTAACAGTATTTTTCACTTGTGCACCAATCCCATTAATGAAGATCAGCCCCTGGTAAGTAATTAGTTAAGGTTTTAGCAACTAATACAACCTTCCATACTCTCTCCCATAATTTCTCCCCCCCCCTTTTTTTTTTAAACCTATGGGGTTAGGTTTTCCTCCCCTACCATGAACTTGCCTTTGACATTTGTTAAAAGACTTTGAGAGAATATAGTAATCAAATCATGAATTGTAGGGTTTTGAAGTTGGAAATTACCTCAGACTAGATGATCTTCAATACTTCCATTTTACAGATGAAGAGAATTAGGTCTGGGGAGTTTAAATGATTTATTCAAGCTTACTCAGCCTGGGCAAATCCTAAGCTTCCTGTCCTCTGACCGTTTTCCTTTATATTTCACTGAAACTTTTCATGTAGTTAGTTCTTTAATGCCCATGGTCATTTTTTTCGACAAAAATAGTTATATAGTGCTGGATTGGTTTAAGATCTTAATCTGAATAGATACTGTGCTTTTATCTACCCCAGTTGTAGCCTTCTCTTTAAGGTAAGAGAATGTACAGAGGAGTATCTGTGGCCAGTCCCACCTGAATTCAGTTCTGTTAAATTGATAATGATATCTTCCTTCTTCTATGTTATAGGACCTATGTTATAGGTCCCAGGGCCAATCCCCTCAACCTTAGTTCCTTTAACTACCCTAACTTTCACAGTGAATATACATCTTTCATGTTGTAAATTCTTGGTTATTTCTATTGTATTCGTACACCTATTATATATATGTATATAAGTACACACACACACATATATATCCTCCAAAAAGCTCCCATCTTGCAGTATGCATCTTATGCTTGAAGTTGGTCTAGTTTTAGATCATTATAGCATAGATGGTTAAACATTTATTGAAAATTGGAACTTCAGTAGGTAGCTCTTCCTGAACTAATCACAAATGTAGAGTAAACCTATCTTTGAAGAACAAAATAAGTTTTTCTGAAAGTGTACAGAGACAGAACAAAGAATTTATCATGAAAAGCATATTTTGGAAAAAGATAAACAAGAAAAAAGGTCCTCTAAGTGGAATGACTATTTTGAAAGTTTTATTATTTCACGGAATCTACACAAGAGTTTTTTACAACTGGAAACATCGATACTACAATAGGAATTGCTTACAGTGAAGTTCCATATCATTATCTCCAGTTAACTGTGGAACAACTATATATAATAAAATAGTTGAAGTTTAGTTTTGTTTTGTTTTTTTTAAATCCTTGCAGAATGCTGTTTGGTAATTTTAATGTCTTCCAGATTTACTCAGGAATGCCACCCTAACAGATTTCTTCTAATTCCGTTGGTTTAGGCATAATTTAGAGAATAAAAGGTAGCTTGTTGAGTAGCATTGTATATTTGTACCTACAAAATAAATGTTGACTAGCATGTTACTCAATTTAACTTATTTATTGTTAGGTAAAATGGCAAATATGATAGAATGGAGCAGCTCCTGTTTATTTTAATGAGTGTCTGTAAGGGTTATAGGATCCTCAGTAGTTAGGTATAGAATCTTATGAAATAGTTATTTCATTAATTCAGGTCTTTTTGTCATGTGGTTTCTTCTAGCCCTATTTTGTACAAACCATTTATAAAAGTTAAATTGTTAGAAACAGAATGAGTTAGTAAGTAGCTCCAGGAAGATATTTACTGTTTGAATTCAACCATCTTTACTCTGATTCACTTGTAGAACTTTGGGAGGAAAATTCTAATTGTCCTAACCATTTCCTGTTGGTTATCTGCTTCTAGGTGGTACTTTGCTGTTATCTCTGTTTCTGGGGTTTTTGCTGTGACATTCTCAGTGGTATTTGCATATGTAGCGGATATAACTCAAGAACATGAAAGAAGCATGGCTTATGGGCTGGTATGTGTTATTTGCTAAGATCCCTGAAAGATGTTTTCATTCTTCAGACACTACACAACATGTTCCAGCAGCAACCCTGTCTTACCACTAATTGGCCTTGAACCATTCAGATTTTAAAGAGGAAAAAAAGGCAAATAACCACCATCTAAGTCAAAGCTGTTACTTTGAGGAACTAATCATGTCAGAAAAAAAAAATCACAGGACTCGTTGACTTTCAAAAGTGGGGGGGGTGGCAGCGTCAGAGGAAAGAGCGGTGTGTGTATTTGAAAGATGTTACAAAGGTGAAATCAACAGGCCATGACAACAGATTGGATATAGGAAATGAGAGAGAGTGAGAAATGCAGGATCGAGCCTGAGGACCTGGGAGGATGACATTGCACTTTTCTAGTACTAGGGAAGGTATGTGGTAGGGAGATTTTAGGGGGGAAAGATACTGAGTTTGGTTTTGGACATTTTGAATATAGTATGTCTACTGGAGTTCAAAAAGTCTAAAAGGCATTTGGAGATCCAAGATTGTAGGACAGGAGAAAGTCTGGGGCAAGACAGGTAGATTTGAGAGTCATTGGCATAGAAGATGGTCAAATACATGGGAACTGATGAAATCACTAAGTGAAGTAGTATTGAGGGAGAAGTGGCCTAGGGGCACCTATGGTTAGAGGGTATGCTCTAGAAGAGGATCCAGCAAAGGAAACAGAAGGAGCCATCAGATAGGTAGGATGAGAACAAGGAGAGAGTGGTGTGCTGAAAGTCTAGAGAGAAAGAAGTATCAAGGAGGATGTATCAGGGAGTGAACAATTGTGTCAAAGGCCGCAGAAAGGTTGAGGAAAATGAAGATAGAGAAAAAGCCTGTGCTTTCACAGGATTTTTAAGGGGGAGCTATATTAAGGATACATTAAAGGAAAGAGGCATTTGAGAGAGGGAGAACAGTCAGTAGAAAAGTGAGAGGTAAAGATGGACTAAAATACATTAGTAGTAATATTTGTAAAGACAGCAGGGCAGATGTGAGAGATTGGGTGATGACGGTAACATCAACGAGACTTGGCAACTAATTAGATGTGGAGGAATGTCTTATAAGAGTCAAAGATTTGAGGTTATGAACCACGATTACTGAAAGAATGGTAGTACTTTTGACAGAAATAAGGAAACTAAGAGGAGTAATTATTTCAATGGTAAATAGTTGAGTTGATTGAATTTATTAAATATTTCTTCCTTCTATTAATCTTATCATTACCCTAATCATGTCAGGGAGAAGCTGTTCCTGGGCTAAATATAGGAGCCTTTTCCTTTAGAAACTAGTTAAACTTTGAATAAGAATGATTTTAAACTATTTCAGTGCAGCTCATTATTTTAGAATTGATTGATTGATAAGGTTTTCTCATTCAGATCAGACCAAGGACTTATTTTGTAATATGTATCCTAAAGAGGCAATGAGGAGAGAATTAGGCATAGGGGACTTAGTATACTTCCGTAGCCCTGTTTCATGTCAGCTGCTTCTTATAGTTGTCCTATATTTGGCTTCATAGTTCATGTATCACTAGATTCAAGGATCTGTGATCTCTTTGGTGTGGAATCTCCCTCCCTCCATTATCTGTAATTTAGTAGATTGGCTTTAGTTACTTATGGTTCAGAGAAATCTGTGAATTTCTGGCCTAGAGAGAAATGTCCAAAATGTCAATCCTAACTCTATCCCCTCAGACATGACTCTACCCCAAGTCAATTTGAGGTAACATTAAAAGGAATCTTAAACAAGAAAAAGAATCATGATATGTTAAAATGTAATTTGGGATTAATATTTAAAAAGGTCACTATTTAGTCTCTTTCTGAATTACTCTTCTGGACTGGAAGGTACTCTACCCAGAGATCAATATCAGTATCATTATCAATGGAGGAGGATAGATTATAGTGGTTTTTCTTTACTACACTTTGATGATCAATTAATAATCCATTTACTTTAGGGGTGGAGAAGGCAGTGATCTAAATAGATTAGAGGCATTCAGTCTTTCAAAGTCAACAAGCTTTTATTAAGCACCTATCTTGTTTCCAGGGTCTGCTGTTAAAGCTAATTTCTACCCTTACCGTTTCCTTAAGAGAGGCCTTTTATTCTTGATCTCACTGACCTAGTCTATAAAGAGACAAGTCTGGAAAGAGTTTTTAGACCAGAGAAATATAATAATAACAATAATAATGTTTATATAGTACCAGAAGTTTTGCAGAGCATTTTATAAATATTATCTCAGTTGATCCTCACAACAGTCCTGGGAGGTGCGTGCCACAGTTATCCTGATTTTACAGATGGGGAAAATGAGGCAGACAGGTTAAATGACATCCCTAGTGTTACACAGCTACTAAGTATCTGAAGCTAGATTTGTAGTCTTCTTAACTCCAGGTCCAACATTATCAACTGTACTACCTATTTCTAGAGGAATCAAAAAAGGAGATTTTTTAAAAAATATGCTTCTACTAAAGCAAAGTGTTTTAAATGGTACAACGTTGTATCTACATTGGTGCACATTTAATGGGGAGTTGTGGAAGTAACAGAATTTGCAAGACAATATCTTCACTATATCAAGGGTACACATACACACACACACACACACACACACACACACACACAGAGCACACGGTTATATGCTCTTTATCTCTTGCAGGTTTCAGCAACTTTTGCTGCAAGTTTAGTAACCAGCCCTGCTATTGGTGCCTACCTCGGACGAGCATATGGGGACAGCTTAGTGGTGGTCCTTGCCACAGCTATAGCTTTGCTAGATATCTGTTTTATTCTTGTTGCTGTGCCAGAATCATTGCCAGAGAAGATGAGGCCAGCATCTTGGGGAGCACCCATTTCTTGGGAACAGGCAGATCCTTTTGCAGTAAGTTACTTATAAAAGTTATTTATGTCCCTCCCCCCCCCGAAAAAAAAGGTGAATAGCATGGATGGTAGGGTTGTTGTGTTTTTTAAGTTCTGAGGTCCCCCAACTGGGTAGTTATTTATTATTCAACTACTCAGATCTGTGATCTCATTGATGTGGAAGTTTCCTCAGCTTAGGTAAATTGTAACCTATTCATGTCTACCCATCCTCTGTGGGTATCCATGTTCTCCTACAAGTTTTCCAAAAAGTGTTTACCCAACATGCTGGAGGACTTCCTCACTTTCTCCTGACTGCTTGAGGATACCAGTGCAATGCTCTTACTCTCTGTCTCTTATCTGTCACCAATATTATTTATTATTGTTTTAAAAAATACATACCTAGATAATAAAGCTAAAAATATATGTAATGACAAGTTTGTAAAAAAAAAATTAAGCTAAAGCTTATCTTTACATATTAAGATCAACCCTTATTTTTGGTTTAAGATCTTATATTTGTCTCTTTCTTGTTCTAGTCCTTAAAGAAAGTGGGCCAAGATTCTGTAGTGCTGCTAATTTGCATAACAGTGTTTCTCTCTTACCTACCGGAGGCAGGCCAATATTCCAGCTTCTTTCTATACCTCAGACAGGTAAATAGTCTAATTCTGACAAAATGTAATTTTCTTCTTGGTTCAACCATAAATATTTGATATTTAATCACTACCAAAAAGTGTTTTTCAGGAGGGAGGCATTTCTTCCCTGCCATGGAGTTGCTTTTGGTTATAAAAGCAAATACTAGTTTTTATAGATAGCATTTTGTACAGTTGATCATTTTTCATGTTCCCTTTTGCAAAACAGGGATATATACAATGATGCTACTGAACTTTTTCAGAAGGATATGGGCTTTGATGGTCCTCCTTCCCTCTGTGTCCTTCCTTTGGTGTTCTTTGGTGCATTAAACCATTTCTATATTCTCACCTAGTTCCTTTGTGACCAATAGCAGACATTTGAGAGATATCTGGATAGAAATAACATAGAAATGTTTTGTCTTTCATCTGTATAGAGTTTAAATGGAGAATATTAGCTTTATATAGCACTAGAGATAAGATAGTTAGTTGTTTGTAAAATAGCCCTAAAGTGCCTGTTTTGAAATAATTTCCAATTGTTTTCTCCATATCACATAATATATTACTGGCATCCACTAACCAGAATCTCCCAAAGAAAGTATTTCTTATTAAATTAGGTATTCTTGGAAGGTGCATTAACTGTTTCAGACCTGTAAGATATTCTTTCAGTTCAACAAACATTTTATTGAATGCCTACTATGTGCCAGGCACTATTTCAGAGGTTTCTTCTACAATATAGTATTTATTATGTTGTTGTATATTATGCTGTAGTATTTATTATCTATTAACCTAAACTTTTTAAAACTCTAGATAATGAGATTTTCACCAGAAAGTGTTGCAGCATTTATAGCTGTCCTTGGCATTCTTTCCATTATTGCACAGGTAAGTCCTACTTCCGTACTTCAGCTTGAACCTCAGATGTTGAGGTTTTTGAACTATCCAGCAGCAATTTGCTACAGATACTAGTTGTGAGTGTCAGAGATAGTGTAGAGTAGTGTGAATGGAGTCAGAGACCTGTGTTTAAGTTACTTAGCCTCTCTGATCCAGTTTCTTCATCTGTAAAATAAGGGGTTTGGACTACATGTTTTCTGAGGCCCTTTCCAGCTCTAAATCTGCGATTCTTGATCACCACAGGAAAAGATACACTTGCCAGTCTTCTGGGAAAAAAATATTTTAACTGCTTGTTTAAAGGGATTTTTTTGTTTTTTTTGTTTGTTTGTTTTTGTTTTGAAAGAGACTATTTTAAAGTTGCCCACAAATTGTTCAAGAGGGGGAAAATGATTCTTTTAAAATGCAAGGTAATTGCCTAGCCTTGGATTTTTCTAAAATTGCAGGCAGTGGGTGTCACTAAGTGGCCCTTGTGGTGTATGACATAGGCTTGTGAGAGAGAAAAGCAGAGTTATATGGTAATTTTGTTCATACAGTTGATTGACCTGATATGGGAGTGGGCAGTTTTTATTTCTGTCAATGTCTACTCACTCCTTGAAGAGGAAAATCAATTTCAGGAAAGGAATCTAAACTTCTCTTGTGTTCTTCCTCTTGAATTCAAATAACAGTTCAACCATAGTAGAGTATGTCTTGCTTCATTAGCTTTAATTTCACTTATATAAGGCCTTGCATTCCTCAGTAAAGATTAAAAGCTGGAAAGCCTAAAAATCTGTCTCATACCTGGTTGCCTGCAGTTAGCAGAATAGTCAAATTTAAAATCTAGCCCTGGGGACCAGCTGAAAAAAGACAGGCCTCAGTTTGGCTCTTGAGAAAGTTGCAAGTTAAATCACAGAGTCTGAATTGTCAAGGACCTCAGAGTTCATCTCCAGCCTGTGCATTTGTAGGAATGGAATCCTGCTACAGTATGGTTGATAAGAAGAGCACAGATGATAGTCAATCCTTTCTGCTTATGAATGTTTCAGATTGTTAGGAAGTCTTTCCTTTTATTGAACAGACTGCTTTTTTGGTTTGTTTGTTTTGTTTTTTTTGGTGAGGCAGTTGGGGTTAAGTGACTTGCCCAGAGTCACACAGCTAGTAAGTGTCAAGTATCTGGTCTAACACCGGATTTGAACTCAGGTCCTCCTGACTCCAGGGCCAGTACTCTATCTACTGTGCCACCTAGCTGCCCCCAGACTGCTTTTTTGCAATTTAAACTCATAGGCTTTAGATTTGAAGGGCCCTTCATCTAAGGCTCCCAGACTTTTTTATAGCATTTAATGTTAATATGTATTATTTTTAGAAAACGTGTAATAATTAAAGCTCCTGTGAATTTAGTACTGTTTCTAAGTTAATTTGCATTTGATCAATCCTAATATCTATATACACTGAAAAAATAATAAAACATGACAAATTTCCATTCAGTTGATGCAAAATAATAGCATTTATATAGCCCTTTAAGCTTGTAAAGCACTTTATTATCTACAACAACTATGTGAAGGCACTGTTATCATCTTTATTTCAGAGGAAACAGACAGAGAAAGGTTATGTGACTTGACTAGGGTCACACAGGTAGCATCTGAAGCAGGACAGTTTTTCCTGACACCAAGGTTCCTTGCTTTTATCCATTGCACCACCTGGCTACTGCTGACATCTATTTATGAATTCGTAGATATCTTGCAGTAATTGCTTTCCAGGGGTTTGTAGCTCAAAGGTTGGGAACTACTGATCTGCTCCTCTTTATTTTACAGAGCAGCAAACTGAGCTCCAGATAGATTAAGTGATTTGCGCAGTGTCACTCGAAGGACAGAATCGGCCTTTGAGCTACGTCAGCTAACTTCACACCCACCATTTCTTCCCCTCTCCCATTCTGCCTCCTCCTCCCCTTGTTACTCAGTCTACTTTTTTGCACCTTGACATGATAGTCCTGAAAGTACTTGCCTGCTTCCCCCCAACCCCAATCCCATCCCCTCCCTCCAGCTTTTCTCCTTTATGAGTTAGATGTATCCAGGTTCTTTGACAGATCACAGGATACCATGCTCTCCAATACTTGGATTATCTCAGTTGCTTACCTGGATATATTCTGGTTTTCAGTGTCCTTCCTAAAATGTTGTTAAGAATACCTGGTATAACGGAGGAGCTGTAGAAGACTTAGAAGACATTCCCTTTGTGACTTGGGCCCAAGCTTCCTCTTCTGTAAAAGAAAGAGGCTCTAAGGCGTTAGTCACTTCTAAATCCTGCCAACGTGTATGAAATCTTATGTTTTTTCATTTTTCAAATGAGAACATCTCCTGCCTGGTCTCTGTCATGTGTCATGGAATTACTGTAACATGTTAAAGTGCTTTAGGTCTTGTAAAGTTCTGCAACATAGAGTTATAAATTTGCGATTTAGCTTTAAAATATGTACCTCTTTAAACGGTTAAAATGGTAAAAATTACTGAATTGTGATCTATTTTATGTGGGCACCCCAGTGTGCCCATATTTTAGTGTAGATTTTTTTTTTAACCTTGACTCCCCAGATCAGCTTCTTATTCAATAGACTATATAGGTATGAGGCTTGACTTAGGTGCCAATAGGCACTTGATTTAGGTGATAATAATCTGTGAGGTAAAAAAGTGTTGCATAGCAAATGTCAAATGCTTAAATTGTCCAGCTTTCCTTTGAATCCATGATTAAAAACAAAGGAAACTTTCTTCCCCTGTCTCTGCATTACAAAGTATGATTTTAGGATATATCCTTGAGAATTATTGCTAGAAATGTAAAGCAAAGATAGAATGATGAGATCACTAAAATTATTCAACAGCTTAACTAAAAACAGTTGCATTTTTTTTTTTATTCTCTCAGACCATAGTATTGAGTTTACTTATGAGATCAATTGGAAACAAGAACACAATCTTACTGGGTCTAGGATTTCAAATATTGCAGCTGGCATGGTACGGCTTCGGTTCAGAGCCTTGGTATGTATATGTATATGCATTTGTACTTCAGATTTTATTGTCTAAAATGGAAACTTTTTCAGGTGTTTCTTACTAAATATGTCATTTTGTCTCCAAATGGGTGCAAATCTTTTTACCTTTATTTGTTTGAGCTTTCTATAGAACTAGTTTGAGGGATAGAAAGTTCGTATTTCACAGATAATTGACTGGCTGAGCCTTCGAGCTCACTTTAAGGTCACTGACTCTTCTGGACCCTAAATAGTACTTAGCTTAGTGTGACATGTCAGCTTAAAAAAACACTCTTAACAGTCTGTTTTACAAAATCCCTTAATAACAAGGACCTGAAAGTTAGTTTTATTGATCATTTTTTTTTCTGTTTAGAAAAAAAGAATTGATTAACCCCAGTGTTCTTTACTGGTGGCAAACCAGCAATGAGTGAGTAAAGTCCAGGTGTTTTGGTCTTACTTCCATGACCCTCCTCCTCAGCTTTTCTTGCCACAGTCTGGTTTCCTGCAGTGAGGTGACCATGATGCTGGTGTCAAGATGCCCACAAACGCCATTATGCCCAGGTATCAGAGGATCTTGACTCCATGATTCAATACAGCTGAATAATCACCTCTTTTGACTTAGATTTTTTTACATAAGGCAGGTTTTGTGGTGGGGGTGGTGGTACTGAATTTGTTTTTAAAAGGGCCCTGGAGTGTGGATTTTGTAAGCTTCAAGGTTTCTTTAATGTCAGACAAGAATATTCACTTGGCATCCCAGGTAGTTTTTCACTAAAACTTCTCCTAAATGATTGAAAGGTTTATCTAAAATCAGCTAACTAAAATCTACTGGTCTGTTCAGACTGGCACAGAATAGAGTAAACACCTTGAAGAACAGGTTTAGCTGATGGTCTTCTGGTTTCAGAGTGTTCAGAAAACATGTCAGTATATTCTAACAGGCCAAATTGTCTCCTCCCCACCCCTGCTAAAAATGACCCAGTTGCAGGATGAACTAAATTAATGGGTAAACTAATGGGTAAAAAGTATGCCAGATTTGCTGATTTTATTCTGAATTTTGCCTTTTGCTTTTTTGATTGCAGGATGATGTGGGCTGCTGGGGCAGTAGCAGCCATGTCCAGTATTACCTTTCCAGCTGTCAGTGCACTCGTTTCACGGACTGCTGATGCTGATCAACAGGGTGGGTAAAGATGACAGGAGCCAGTGGCATGGTTATTAAAAAAGTATGAAAGCTTTTTATCTGATGTTTTAGTATACTTCATTATCATTTGAGACTTTTTCAATATAAAGAAAGGATAACTGCTGGCCTACTTATGAGGGAAGAAATAAGCCAGATATTTAGTTTGCCTTCCCTAGCTTTGCATTTTTAATATACAGGCCTCTTGATGAGAGATTATTCCTCAGCTCCATTTCTGATTGACAAAACAAAGATTGGTTATCAAAATATGATTCTGCATTTACAAAGCAAAAATCAATATACAAGATGTGGTCTAGCTTTTTTGTTTTTATGAAACAGTATAGTTTCTGCTAACTGAGGATCTGTAACATCATCACTGTTTCTGCTCATAACTTTTGGAGAGAGAATTTCATGCTTTGCTCTTTTTGCTGGCTGGGCCTAATCCAGTTTAACCAAACCTGGTAAGAATAGTTCAGAATACATTGAGATGAGACTGTTTGGTAGGGGAGAATAAAAGTTTGAAAAGGATGTTGGAATCTATGATATTAGAACAGAGAGAAGAAAGTGAGAGGATTTAGCACAGTGTTAACAACTTGGTTGCCCAGACTTCAAACTACATCCCACAGATCTTGCCAGACACCTACTTTGTGACAATAGGGAAGTCATCTAACCTTTCTCAGCCTCATTTACAAAGTGGATCCCTACTTTACCATGGTAATAATCTGCAATACTTACTTCACAGGGCTGTTGTGAGATTCAAATGAGAAAATATGCAAAGCATGTTGCAAACTATAAAGTGCTATATAGATAAATTTCAATTGTTACTCACAGCTGAGGAGATCCTCTAGTGGAATTCTGTTAGAAAGAAGGAAACAAACATTTATGCCAGAAATACAAATACAATTAAAAAGACAGTTAAAAGGGAAGTGAATGAGCATTTATATGGTGTCTGCTGCTTTACAAATATCTCATTTGCCTTAGAACAACTCTGGGAAGTAGGTGCTGTTATTACCCTATTTTACAGTTGTGAAAACTCAAGGTTTGGCAACTTGTTCAGGGTCACACAGCTAAGAAATATCTGAGGCTGGATTTAAACTCAGGTCTTACTGACTCTAGTCCCAGCTCTCTATTCTCTGATGAGGAATGGTTTTGACATCTGCAAGTCCAGGAGCAGAGCCATGCAAGGAATGAAGGCTGACTGACCTGGGTTCCTTCACAAAATGGAGGCCTCACGAGGGACTTATTGGTGGGAGAAGGGAGAATATCCTGGAGGAAGGATATTTGAGGGTGAGAAGGCTGATAGAGTTAGTTGGATGTTCCACGAGGCCCCAGGCACTTAAGGGAAGTTCCGGATGAGAGGACAAGTGAAGTGATGGCTTCAGACTTCATGGTGGACCTAGGGGACCCAGAAAGTGTAGGGCCTTGGTGTCCATTTTCTCTTTATTGAGTCATCTTGAAATTCTTCTCTAGATGATACATCTATGCTGGAAGGGTTGCTCCTCAGCAGACAAAGCCTCTCTGTTGGATAGACTAGTCTTGTCAGTTCCCTGGCGTAATACTGGATAGGCAGTTTTATTCCCCACTACCTCCAACTTTATGTTAAGGTGCAGTCTTCAACTGGGCTCCTGCTGGGCTCTCTAAAGAGCAGAGCCTTGGCCTTGGACAGGACGAAGCATTTCTAGTTTTGCCCCTTAGGAGTTTGTTGCCTTCCAGGAAGGTGTGAAATCAGAGGTTTAGCCTTTAGGAAAAAGTCAGAACGGTTTAAAAGTGCAATGTACATAATTACAGAATACGTAATTGCTGGAACCAATTACAGGGAAATCCTGGATAGCCACAGTACTCCATTTAATTTTGTGACATGTTAAGGTAAAGAAATCCAACAAAAATGGTTCCATTACAGATTTTTCCAGTCACATAAAAAAAACTGAAAGGATGTCCTATATTTTCTCTAAATCCCATCTCACATTTACAGCATTATATACTTTCAAATGCTTAACTTGTATTTCGTAGAACTAAAAGCTATAGAATAGCATTTTGTGACTATAAGGATGTATTTGCTGGCCTATCACATCCATGTATTTTCCTAATTCATGACTCTAATCATTTCATTCCCTTGATCCAAAAAATGTGAATGCAAACTAATCTTCTTGGGGTAAAAGGATCTAGCCTCTTTTTCTTGCCTTTTTTTCACTGTTCCATTTCATACAGGTCTATTCCAACCAAACCACTCCTGCCATGCCTTTGAACATGCCATTTCCCATGGTAGAACATGACCCCTTTTCCCAGTTCAGATACACACTTGCCTTTTATACTCATGAATGTGTTTGTGTTACTTCCTCCCTCTACTTCCACTGTGAGATCCATGAAGCCAAGGCCTAGCTTTCATCTTTTTATCTATAAATTTATTTTATCTAAAAATAAATGTTGTGAAATGATCATTTAATTGATCTGAGGACTATAATTACAGCATAGAAATGGTTGTATTGCCAATAAGAAAAGTGTTAAGGGTGTGTATTCTTTACCATTTAGGTGTTGTTCAAGGAATGATAACAGGAATTCGAGGATTATGTAATGGGTTGGGACCAGCTCTTTATGGATTTATATTCTACATATTCCACGTGGAACTGAATGAACTACAAATAACAGAAACAGATTTAGCAAAAAATCAAGGCCCTCAGCACCACACCCAGGAGGTATTTTCTTCTTCTTGTTCACGCTAATAAATATCAAAATTTCATTAGGCTGCACTAAAGGACATATTAGAAGAGATTATTTTATTAAGTCATGTGTAAGAGTCTTCCTTTAGTGATTAAATAGGATAAAATATTTAGAAAGTCATTCTTACAAGCTAGTTACAGCAGATTTTCTACCAAATAGATTTTAATACATTCTAAATAAAACCAACTAGTTATATGCAAGACTGAGTTTTACTAGTAGAAAGCCATTTGTGCTGTGGTGAATCTTTACGATTTCATCATATCCACTGAAAGGCAGGTCATGACTTCAGCCAACATGAATAGTCTCCCAAGTTTCTTCCCACTTGACAAGTGAGCTTTAGATTTACCTGAGTGTTCAGATGATTTAAGTAAAAAGCATTTGTTAATTTGGCTGTAGGTAGAAAAATAACACTTACTATACAGGTAAGTTCAGAGTATAAATTATTATAAACCTAAGAGGAAGGTAGGACTACACTTACATATTCTTTTTATTTAAACACTTCTTTTCTGAGCTGTTATGCTTATTCGAAACAGGGAAACTCAGTTTAACAAATATTTATATTCCTCTGCCTGCTTTGGACTTTGGAGATTTGATGTCTTCCTGCATTTAGAATATTCTAAATAATAATATGGATCCTTCTCCATTATCCTTTCCCCTCAACTTGTCCCTCAAGACTTTCTTAGCTGTTTCTCTGAAACAGAAAAGTCTACCTAAAGTTATACCAAGAATCTCACTTTCAGATATAATACTGGATGAAAAATATCTTTACCTCCTTACATTTTTTCTAAGTCCAAAATCGGTAAATGATAGCTCAACATTTGCCCTCTTTCTTTCTGGCAAAGATTTTATAATAATTATCAGAAAATACTTCTTTCATGTCACTATTTCAAAGCCAAATTTGTGAAGACTTAATGGCTAAGAGGAAGAAACGATGTCCTTAAAACAGACTAGAAATAGCAACCCCCTTATTCCTACGACAGAGAAATTTATGAACATATGACTTTCTTTGCAAAATCCTAATTGTTTTTTTCTTTCCCCAGAATTCCATCATTCCTGGCCCCCCATTTCTCTTTGGAGCCTGCTCTGTTCTCCTGGCTCTACTTGTTGCCTTGTTTATCCCAGAACATACCAACTTAAATGTAAGAGCTGGCAGTTGGAAAAAACATTGTGGTGGTCATAGCCATCCTCATAGTCCACAGGCTCCTGGGGAAGCCAAAGAACCATTGCTGCAGGACACAAATGTATGACAATAGATGCTGGGAAAAACTTTTGTCAGCTCCTAGGTCTTGGTTTTTCACCTGCAGTTCTGGATGCATATTCCATTTTCATCCAAATTTCATTTCATACGGTTGTCTTAAGAAACTTATCTGCATGAAAAATAGAACAATTCTCCAAAGATGTCACTTTAAAAAAATTTGTTTCACATCAGTCTTTTGCCACTAAACTTTATTGTAAAGCCTTAAAGTTTAGTTCCGGAAAAAAGGAAAAAGTTATCTATGAATAATCTCCATGGCATATATGTGCCTCTGCATCCATTTCCTTAAGGTGTTGAGCTTTAATTCTATTTATGCTGAGTCTCAGTGAGACACTAGTAGGTAGCATAGTTGTAGACCCAATTATTTTAATGCTGTAAAATCTTGGGTCTAGTGATTCAAAGCCTTACGCACTAAGTAAGGAAAAGGTAAAACATTTTGCATTTTTTACTTTTTTTTAATTTTTTACTAAATGCAGAATCATGTTTTAAGCTTGCTTACAGAACAGTAATTTTTAAAGAAATATATAAGTGCATTGGGGGGGAGGTGGGGCATTATATGAAATAGTTATCAGACCATTTGGTATTTAAATGGGTGGGTGTTTAGAGCCTCTAAGACTCTACTGGCTCAAGCACAGCTTTCCAAAAATAGTTTTCATATACCACTGTTGTTTTGATGTTTGCATAATCACAAGGACCTCAACACTTGAATACAGAAACTATAAATTATACAATAAACTGATAGTCTTGAAAATGTCAGTGTGATATCTTTGTATAGATATAGTGGCCTTTCAGGATTGTCATAGTAACACTTTACAAAGCTAATGCTTGTCCTAAATTTTCAGGACCCTAGAAGAGAGCTTTATATAATAATTACTGATGTGAATTTCTCTAAAGTGTATATTTTTGTGTCCAGTTATATTATTTAAGAAATGTTACTTTGTATAAATTGTGTATAAAATATTGTATAGTTTAACATGTTTTTCTTGTCTGTGGTTTGCTTCTTAAAACTTTGACCATGATTGAGTACAGTGGGAAGGGTGGGGAGAGTGTAAACATACTATTGTTAAATTGTTGTAACATATAAGTTTGTGCACATATACACACATACACATATATATATACACACACATCATATGCATATATTTGTAGTATAAGGTTTTCAGCATTTTCTCTTCATAAAATATATGTGTTTTATATATATATATTTTTACACTAACTATACACACATAACTAACTATACATATGCAAACTAACCACTGTTAGGGTATACATATAGTTAGAATATATCACACACATATATGTGTATATAAAACTTTACAGTACGAATACAACCTCATTTCCCTTTAAAAGCTTGGCTTGGCCATTCTCAATAAACTTGGGACATATATTACTGACCAAAAACCATTTTAATATTTCAATTACATACATTAAATGTATAACATTGATTTTTATAAACAAATGTACAACTTTTACACTGCAAAACAACTGAAGAGTTTAAGAGGTAAGAACACAGTAAATAACTCATCGCAAATTTCCAGCAAGTAGTTGGTATGGTTTCTGTTGTCACATATAAGAAAAAAATATGAGCATTTAAAAAATACTTTGGTAAATCTTACTAGGCTGCTTTCATATTTAAGGGTTAAGAGGAAGGAAAGGGTTGAATTCCTTTACAATAACAAAAGGCTGCCTAAATGTACCCCAATTACCAATTTTACTAACCAACGTCCACATTCAATTTATAAATATGTACTATACAATATTTACAACAAAGAACATTCTAAGGTTGCTTTCAAAAAGCTGCTTTATAATCCACATTTCATTCAAGTCACTGTAATCTAGTTAGGTTATTATTATGGTATCTTAAAGATTATAGGATTGTAACTTAATAAGCCTGACAGCTCAACAAAATAGAAGACTCGTAGGCATGATTATACCATCTTAGTTTTTTTTAAAAGCATAATTAATAAGCTACAATTTTCTCCGAAGGGATGACTGTCTACACGGCAAGCTAATTTTCCCCTAGATCTTAAATTACGTAAGACTCAAAATCCTGGAAAGGGCTTTATAGCAAAATCACCAAAGATTTTAACTAATCTTTTAAAGTATGTCACCTACTGATGCTAGCATTTAAGAAAAAATGCATTTCTGTCTCTCAAACATGCTAATTTGTACATTTTAAAATGCTTATGCATAATAAAGCCTTCATGCTTAAGAATTAGAATTTATCAGTCATGTACAAATTATCTGAGGAATTAACTGCATAGAGAAGAATACTGGTGAAAATGAGAAGGGAAGGGGATACTATAAATATAAATGACAGTCCCAAGAAAATAGTTACCATTGAAAATGTGCCTAGATACTTTGTGGCAATTAATAGTGCTCACAGTCTAGTACAGCATGTAAGTTCCTACTCTTAACTTTTCTTGGCTTATTGAACATTTGTATTAAAAGCTGAGGGGAAAAAACTCATTTTCTAATGAGACTTATAAGTTTTGCATAGCTATTAAATATTTAGACAAAGGGCCACTTGATAAAATGTTTCTGCAAAAATTTTAAATTGAAGAAAAACTTGATGAATATAGGAGGCCAAAAGTGTTTTGAAATTAATCAGTTTAGATGACATTTCAACCTAATCTGGCTGTTAGCTTTGCAACATTGTCTAAAATGAGCAGAAGGTTAAAAAAAAAAGGTATCCTATCACTAGGTTTCAAGGAAGGCACATGTTAATAAATCGACTACAAGAACTATTTTGCACAGCTGGCTAAACCCAGAAGAATTACACTGATTTCTTAAAAATGAAATTAAATCTATTAAATCTTAGAACAATGTTCCAATGTAACAATCTTTATGAAATCATATATAAATCTCTTTAAAAATTTTCCATTAGAAAACCAGTAAGCTATCAATACTTCAAAGAATTCCTATTCAATTGCTAGATAAGGTACTCCATATGGGAAACGTTACCAGCACTCTTTGGTTTTATATTAAAATTGCTCTCACTTAAAAGGGTTATGGCCTTCTACATTTATTTCAATGAAATACATACAGTTACTACCCTCAAAAATGGTACCAAGGCTCCTTAAAAAGAAAAGGCACTAAATATTCCATTACCTGGGAAATATAGCCCAAGGTCAAAGTCCAAATTTAGTTCTTGCTCCCATAATATTTTCCACATATAGCCAAGATAACATCTTTTTGTGGGATTAAAACACTAAATCATCAGTAATCACTTAATAAGGTCAAAGGCAAAGTTATCTTATTCATGGTGGTTGCACTTATGTTGCTATGTTAAGAGCTCATCTTCAACCAGAATCATTACCATTCTCTCAATACTTCACAAAGCAAAACTGCAGGTTTGGTCACTGTCCAGGAAAATATGCCGAAGCTACAGAAGGAGGGAGCACTGCAGGTTTTGCTGAAGCTTGTAGTGTTGTTAAAGAGCCATCCTTCTGATGTTCTATAAGTAGGGGGAAACAAGTATTAGTTCTTTGATTTCATACATACATACATACATACATACATACATTTAAATCACACTATAAAGAAACTCCAATTTAGAAATGATTGAGAAGATTCTTACCTGGATTACTAAAGAGGTTTTGACTAAGCCCTCGTAATGGAATACTATCTTCCCTTTTCTTCAAATATTTCGATTCCAGGCCCAAATTTTCACCACTAATCAAAGGGGAGGAAAAAGTACTTAATTTTTCTTTTCTTAAGCAGATCATTCCTTAGTAAAATCCAATGAAGCTCAGCAACTAAAGGTTGAATTCTGTTAAAGTACAGTTTCATATGAGGAAAGAAATGGTTTTTATGTGATAGGGTGGAAAACAGGAAGTGAATAATGAAAAAAGACATCAACAAGGATTAATACCACTTCATACAAAAGATGAACCAATATAAGGAACCTACAAGAAGTTGACCAGTGCTCAGTGAGCAAACACTTGATTAGACCAACTGGTAGGCATAGGCAGTAATGAAATTGTAAAGGCTAGTGCTATACTGAGCAAAAAGTGACAGAGCTGGAAAAAAAGCTTGCTTAACACTGGCCATACTCACCGATTCCATGGCAGAAGAGCCCTCGGGGCCTTATCCATCCAGCCAGCACATTAAGAATCTCCTGTACAACAGTATGACTGGCTGTACAGCTTTGGCTGGAAAGCCTACAGCAAAGGAGAACCCACTGCTTCCTTAGGCAATCCATTTCAACTACAGAGAGCTGTTAGGAAATTTTTCCTTAGAGCAAGCTGAAATGTGCCACTTTGCAAATTCCTCCCATTGCTGAGGGGCAAAGCAGAACAAATCCAATCCTTCCACATATCAGTCCCTCAAGTATTTAAACACAATTATCATGTTCATCTCCAGTCTAATATTCGGCCCAGGAGAGGGGATAAACACATCAAGATATAGGGTATACAGCTAGAGAATAAAATAGCCAGTACAGAACTCTGTTGAGAAACAACCCATAACTGGGGCAAGACATGGATAATTATGCCAGCAAAGAGTAAAGAGTTACCAGAAAAGTATGGAGCCAAGAAAAACCATCACAAAAATCCGGAGGAGAGGGTATCCAGGAAAAGAAAATGTCAAACGCTACAGAGAAGTCTAGAGAATTGTGCAATCCTGTAACATGGAAAGGGGATCCTACTAATCCTCTCCAAGCTCTCAAATTTTCCCCTCCTATTCAGCATTACCACTACATGACATCTCCAAAGAAATTAAAAAAAAAAAAAATAAGGGAAAGGACCCATACATAGAAAATATTTGTGAAAAGTACTTGTGTTAAATGAGTAAGCATTAAAACGCTTACCACCTGCACAAAACACTGCTAAAGCAAAACAGTCCCTGCTCTCAAGAAGCTTGTTCTAATGGGAGAAACAACACCTACAGGTGTCAGCCACAAGATGGAAAGGACAGGATATAGTGGTCAAAGTAGATGCTAATTAATTTTCTTGTGTCATTTCTACTGATAAAAAACCATCCATTTCTGATAATGACTCATTTAATCTACCAAGGATTTTCATAGTGAGAACTTTATTTTCCAGATCTTCAGTAGCCGTGGCTTCTGAGGAGGCAGAAGTTCTACCACCCACAGAAGCAGACACCAGGTCTCATCTCCATAAGGGTGGCTAAAATGGTGGCTATGAGGACTGGACTAGAAGTAAGGTCTGGGATGTTACTACTTCTAGAGGTCTTAGGCTTACCTAATCACTGGTCAGCAGGAGGTGATGGCAAGAAAAATAGGCTCTTTCCTTCAGGATGCCTTACTACTTCAGCTAGACTAGCCTAGCCTACCCACCCCATAGGTGGGAGTTTTTGTTATATCAAAGAGCTGGTGCCCATCAACTGGGCTGAACAATTCAAGGTATATGGCTGTATTTTTACTTGACCATATTTAAGCTATAAAAGAGGGATTTTCTTTTTTTATGAGGGAGGAGGGGGAAGTAAGGTAGTAAGGTTAGTGACAGCAATGCCAGAAAAAGAGAAGAGAAAGAAAATGTCAATGGAACATTTTTTAACCTGCACAGAATAGAAAAGAAGGTTCAGAGAAAGAAAAAACAAAGGAAAGCTTTGGAACAAATATGTTAAATCTATTATATATTTTTAAAAAACAAGCTATCTGTATAGAGATTCAAGCTTCACATACAATTCTCTTTTTCTGTTTAATAGCTTCTTGTTTGTCGTATTCAGCCCAACAAGAAATTAAAGTCTGGGAAAAGACATATTCCTCCCTTCTATCACGTTCTTCCTTCTTGAAGAGCATTAGGGTCACAATAAAAGTTCCCCTTGTTAGTGACTCCATCTTTGATGGATGAAATCATTAAGTCAAGTCAAAAAATGATTAGCTGCTTAGCTCTTGACAGAAAATCACCTATCACTAAATATCTCTTAATGCCATATTTGTGATTTATTTCCTCAACCTTAACCTCTCATATAGCAAGAAAAGATAAAAAAAAATGGTATAGTCTGGGCATTGTAATGGTGCTCAAGAAATAAAAAAATAATTAGAGAAAAGACTGTCATCTTGGATCCTTGTGAAGAATCTGTACCAATGAAGGGTGTTCCCACATGCACAGGACAAAAGAGCCATTAAAATTATCTCCATTCCTCTCCACCTTTTTTTTGACTCTTTAAACTTCTTTCAGCAGCATGCCCCTGCAACCTATTCTTACTCTGAAAGATGTCTCTGCCACTAGGCAGTATCAGCCTTCTCACAATATTCTTCCACTCCTGCTGGCTTCTCCCAATGAAGATTCCTCTGCCCTCAGAGTCAGTCAACAAACATCTATTAGGTGCCTACTGTGTGCAGAGCAGCGTGCTAAGAGCTAAGCACTGAGGATACAAAAAGAAGCAAAATGGTCCCTGCCCTCAAGGAGCTCACATACTAACTGGGGAAAACAACAAAAAAAAAGAAGCTGAAAAGGGTGGGGTGGGAGGAACATATGATGAAGTCCTCATGGGAAATCTGAGGAAATTAGCCTCAGAACTGATTGTATTTTTAGCATGATGAGTTTCTAAAGAACATTAAGTCCAGGAAAGTAGCAGGATGGAAAACAATGGCCCTGTAGCCCCTTCCTCTGATTGGTCAGTTCCTGGAACATCCATTTTAGAAAAGGGCCCAGACCAGCCATGCTTACTCCTCTATTCTTCTTCTCAGGGCTTGATCTTGACACTCTGGATTTCTTTCTCCACTCCTTCCCCTTACAGACAGACACACAGACACAGACACACACAGGCAATCGCACATTTTTCAAGCTCCCTAAGGACTGTTTCTTTCTTTCTTTCTTCTTCTTCTTTTTTTTTTTTGGTTAGGCAATGGGGTTAAGTGACATACCCAGGGTCACACAGCTAGTGAGTGTTATGTGTCTGAGGCCGGATTTGAACTCAGGTCCTCCTGAATCCAGGGCCGTACTCTATCCCCTGCGCCACCTAGCTGCCCCAGGAATGTTTCTTTTGCTTCTATTTGTATTCCCAGCACTTAGCAAGTGCCAAGCATAAAGTAAGTGCTTAATAAATGCTTGTTGATCTAATCTTCAACAATGCCAGAAAAAACAAGATGTTCTTACGTTTCAGAAATCTCTCAAACATATCATTAAACCAAAAATGCTGGGAACTATTTCCAGTTAATCTGTAACCAATAATTAACATTCAAGAGACAAATAGATTTATGTTTATGTTCACAAACTCTTGCTGTAGTAAATCTAAAACACTGACTTTACAATATAACTGCCAATATGCAATATTTTAATTACATATAATAAAAAAGTATTTACTTCTCTTTATCAGTTGAGCGAGGTATATTAATAGATCCTCCTGAAGGAACGTCTCCTGAAGTATTTGTTTTTGCAAACTGCAAGTTAAACTGAACCTGGTAAAAGACAAAACATTTCACATGAAGCTATGAAAACTAATAGCATATTGCTGTAGTTATTTTTCTCCTAGAAAATCCAACTACAACTTGTCTTTTACTAAAGCTTACCCACATCTTTTTATGTGTAAGGTTATACTCCTTTTTTTTCCTAAGCTGTACATAAAAGTTGTGACTTATAAAGTAAGGAGATTTATTTAAAGCACCAGAATTATATGACAATAGTCATTAATAAATCGTAACTGAAGTCCAAGATGATGTTTTTAAACCCCGTTGTTAAATTTCTATCTGCCAATCACCCCTAGATATAAATTGGATGGTCAGTGATGATCCTAATTAGTTTCTAAGCCTCAGTGACACTAACTTCCAAGCATTAAGCTGCTGTCACCACCATGCTTCACTTACTGTGGGGGAAACAAAATATTTTTCCCATGAAACTAAATGTCCCTGATTCATTATACTTCTCTAATATAGTTTACCTGAGACATGTCTGGATTTCTACACAATAAATATGATTTACTCCTCTTTGACCTTGATAGATGAATTCTATAGATAAACTGTTGAGGTCGAAGCTAAAAACAACCAAGTCTTTTTTTATGGGTTTTACATGTTCATTTTCTTAGGTCTAAGGAGTATTATGTTTCCCCTATAAACCTGGATGTTTTGTTCCTGGGTCATACTTCCATGACCATTATTTCCTTATTACTATTTTCTTCAAAAACATGTTATTTTCTCCAGTTTCCCAATCCTTCTGCTGTTTCTATTTGTCACTAGAAGTGAAAAGTATAACCTTAAAAATGTTCCGGTTAAGGTTTCTTTCAGGATAAACCAGTTTCTACAACAAATATTACTTATTAACCACTTCCAGTTGACCCCGTAGAATGGGACAGTGGAAAGAGTACTGAAATTGGAGTCAGAAAACCTAGATTCAAATCCTGGCTCTACCACTTATCAGTAGGGTGAGCATGGATGGATAAATCACTTCAATATCTCTCACCCTGAACTTCTTCATCTGCATACTATTACCTCTATCTCCCTCACAACACTACTGTGGGAGATAAATTAAGTGTTTTGTAATCATAACTGAAAAAACAGGTCATGATGATTATCATTTTTAATAAACTAAGTCTGACTTTTTCATCATTTTCCTAGGTTGTAGAGGTGAATGAATGTTGTCTTTTTATGATATCATAAACATACAAAGAGACAAATTTGACCTCAAAGGTATCAATGAGACATGGAAGGTGAAACCCATGTTTGGAATATGAGTTCTGGATGGACATATTTTATGTAGGGGAAAAAACCAACAGGATACGTAAAAGGGGGTGAGATAGCACTATTTACTAAGCAGGCATATTCATGTGAGGAAATCCAGGAACCAGAACTGAGAAATATCGTGAAAGGTGTTTCAGTGAAGATCAATGGAAGAAAGAACAGAAATAAATTTGTTATTGAAGCATACTATAGATTACCATGATAAAAATAAGACAGATGAGGCATTTAAGAAACATCAAAAACCTAGTACAGAGGCATCACACAGTATGATGAAGGACTTGAACTATTTAGCTATCTACTAGGATCTCTCTAACAAAAGACAAGCCTTGTTTTAATTATCATTTCATTCTTATTTAAAATTTCATTCCCTTTTTTAAAGGTGGAAGAACCAATTAGGGCAATTTCTACTTTAGATCTGATTCTAATAACGGGGAAGAAATGGTTATAGAAATGATGGGAACATTAAGGACAAATGACTACTACCTCAACCGACACATAACATAGACTATGGGATAGCAGGTATCAAAGAGATCAAAGAAAGGATAAATACAACTCCACAAGCTAAAATCTTACAGGGGAAATAAGCCCGAGAGGGCCCCCTTCTCTCCTTGGATACCGGTGAAGGCTCTCATCACCTCCCACTTGCCTACTGCAATAGGCTGCTGGTGGGTCAGCCTGCCTCAAGTTTCTCCCTATTCCAGTTCGTCTTCCACACAGTTACCAAAGTGATTTTCCTAAATGAAAGGTTCAACCATGTCACTCTTCTACTCAATGAACTCCAGTAGCTCCCTAACACCTCCATGATCAAATAACAAATCCTTGCTTGGCTCTGAAAACCAATATAGCTCGACTGTACTTGTTTGCCTGTGTCCCTCAACAGAATGCCCGTGTATTCCTCAAGGGCAGGGACTGTCTTCTGCCTCTCTGTTTCCCCCTTGAACATACTAGGTGCTTAATAATGCCTGACTTTTTCAAATATGAATTAGTCAATGAAGTCCCTTTTGATTGTGAAATTTTATTTCTAGATCCTCTCTACCTTTTAAAAACTTTACTGCTGTCAAAAATTCTTAACATTTCATCCCTATGCTTCTTATAATATTTCAAGTGTATCACTAGCATATTTAACTTAAAATTTTAGTTTAGGCAACTTATTTTTATTTGAAAAACCATACACAATTCAATTCATCACAGCTTCTAGCCTAAGACTTACTGACTGACCTTGAAAGGACTGCTGCTACAGGATGAAATAAACCCCTGTTCTGTTTACTCCTCTGCTCCCAACAAGCCATACAATAAAATCAATCTCATTACTTTATGGTCACACTTTGTATATCCTTTGAGCAGGTGGTTCTAGTATATCTTGGGCACACTTTGGAAATTATGTTAAGTTCCTGAAAAGTTACATGTAAAAAAAAATGTACATAATGAATCAAAATTTCAAAGATACATTTTGAAAGAAAAAATGATTTGATGAAAATCACTTAAGGAACATCTTTCCTTTGCCAATGTACAGTGAATTTATTAATTTATCCCATCAACCCAGGCAACAGACTATGATACCACACGTAAATATATTCTTAAGTGTCACATGGTCAATTCCAATTATACTGGGAGTTCTCTTTCCACGGGATATCTTAAGTAGAAAGGTGTTATTAGACTTCAGAATTATAGCAGCATTTATCAACTCCTAGTTATATGGTTTATTTTGGAGGAGGCCAAGAAGAAACATTCAAGTACAGTTTAAAATATAAAAGTGCTTTATAAAAGAGTCTTCAGTTCTGTTTTTAATCAAACATAAAAATCTCCATTTATAAATAAAATAAAATGGCTACCTTTGGTCCAGAAACTGGATGAGCAGTGCTTTTCGAAGCTACAGCATGAGGGAAGGTACTGTGGTAAGTAAATGCGGAAGAAACAGGATAGCCAATTCCACAGTTTGGAAGAGGTAGTCTGTTATCAAGCTAAAAAAAAAAGTGGAGGGGAAGAAAGTATCATTAAGGAAAAATGAAAGCTATAAATAGTATTACTTAATATTACTTACCAGTAAGCACCAGCAAGTTATGGAAATAATAGCTAGCATTTCAAAGTCCTTTAAAGTTTTGCAAAGTGCTTTATGTATACACAGCACACCCCAAAAGTGTTAGTGCAGTTTTAAGCTACTAAAGCTAAATAACAAGAGGATAACATTTAATAATATTTTAAATAACAAAAATTACATTTTACAGATGAAGAAATTGAGGCACAGAAGTTAAGTGACTTGTCCTGGGTCACACAGCTAATAAATATATGAGACACTCTTAGAACTCAAGTCTTTCTCACTTCCAAGTCCAGCACTTCACCCACTATGCCACATGGCTGACCCACAGAATAGTAAGACACACAGTTGTTCACCCTATCCTCTGAGACCAAGTTACCTCAGCCCTATAGCTAGCCTTGTTTACCAAAGTCAACAGTGTCTGGCTCATCCTTGGTCCAGAATAGCCCATACAGAGAAACTCAATATTTCATTGTAGGTAATTATATGAATTAACTAATTATCCTGTAACTATAAATTTTTATTACTATCATTTCCACTAAATATTTATAGTTTATGGTCTTATCTCTGTGGAATGAAATTATTTTGTGTTGTTTTTTCCTTGTTAATTTAAAATTCACCTTATTTAACTTAAAATAAAATTTTAGTTTAAGTAACTCATTTAAAAAAACATATACTAACATCTAATTATCTAATTTCACCCCACCCCCTGCCTCACGACCCCTAACTGTATTCATAGTCTGGCTCCAGCCTTTCCTTCTAGGCTCCTTTCATGTTACTCTTTATAGACACTCCACATTACAGCCAGTTGTTTTAAAAGAGAAAGGTCCTAGTAAATGTAGTCAGTTATTTTAGGCCAGGGGAATGGGGTCAGAGGGAAATGTGCAAGGTAATAGGGATACAAAGACAAAATTAAAAATTAGTTTCTGCCCTCAAGTTTACACTCCCTGATGGAACATATATACATTTTTTTTTTTAAATTTGAGGAGAGAACATTAATAGTTGCATAATCAGAAAAATTCCCCAAAGACAGCATGTCTCAGTGGAAAAAGCATGGGATTTGCAGTCAGAAATCCTGAGTATAAATCCCTGTTTTGTTACTTACTATCTATGTACTCTTGGCCAAGTCCCTTATCTTCTCCACGACTTATTTTCCTTATCTATAAAATCAGAGGGGTTGAACTAGCTGGCCTCCCACGTCCCTTCCAGCTCTAAATCCATGATCATATTATGCTTTAAGAGGTTGCTCCTGAGTTGGGCCTTGAATGAAGCTAGGCAGTCCAGTAGGGGAAGGTGAGGAAAGAAGGCAGGCACTGGAATGCCTAGTTTGGAAAACACCCAGTGGTCTAGTCTAGCTGAAATGTACAGTGTTTATAGAAGCAAAGACGGAGCCAGATTGTGATAAGCTCTAAAAGTAGAGAGACTGGAGGTACAAGAAGAAAGAATACAGTTAGGGGTTGTAAGGCAGAGGGAGGGACAAAATGTTAAAGGATTGTGATTAGATAAAACAATTGCAGAGTTCATGAACAGGGAAGCAGAACACCTGTGGACAATAAGATCAATGGTATGACTGTTTCTGTGAAGTGGTGGAGTAGATGAACAAAATGAAGAATTAGGAAAACAATATCTGAGGAAACATCAACATGTATACTGATTCTCTTAATATGAGAGAAGGAGTTGGGACAGAGAAGCCCAGATACTGAATTCAGTGAGAAATGAGGAAGAATGTCCTATAGGTTGGTAGGTAACAACTCCCAGGGTCTGGATAGGATGATACATTTGGATAGAGTAAACTGGAAAGCAGGAAAGGTTACTGAGTGCTGGTTATAGAGGAGAAATGACAATGAAGAAAAAGAAGTATTCTGATTCCACTACCAGTGAAGAGGGGTGGGGGGAGAGAAGTACAACCAACGCTGGAAAGGACGGCCAGGACACAGAGTCATTTGTGGGAGCCAGGTCTCAGGAAGACCCAAATATGAAAGAAGCAAGAGAAGGAGAGGTTTACAGTGACAAATTTGTTACTTATGGCAGGAAATTCCAGGGGGCACAGTGGAAAGGCAGGTATACCTGAAGTGGATATTAGGTTGAGGTAGATAAGAATAAGGGAGAGGACCTTTGTTCTTTCACAAACCATGGAAAGAATCAGTACTTTGGAAATTCAAATTCCCACAAGCATTTACACATTTACCATGTGCCAACACTGGGGACATAAAGACAGAAAAAAAAAAAAGAAACAGTTCCTGTTCTCAAAGAACTTACATTCTACTGGAAGATTACTTTGGAAGCTGTGTGGAAGATGGAACTGAGACAGAAAAACAGCAAGCTGAAAATCCAATTGTTTGAATTGCCCATCTTAAAGACAATGAGGACCTGAAATAGGATGGTGGTCACGTAAGTAGAGATATTCAGCAGAGGAAAAATGCATAAGACTTGGCAACTGAATGGATATTGGTGATGAGAAAAAGAAGAGTCCAAGAGGACAGTGAGGATGTGAACCTGAGTCAGTATAAGTATGGAGAAAAAGAGAAAAAGGAAAATTTGCAGCAGCAGACTGAGGGTAGAAAGATAATTCTCTTTCTGGCACACTGAATCTGAGATGCCTATGGTTCATATAGCTGAAGATATAAGACATACAGATGTTGATGAAGCACTAGAGCACAGCAGAAAGATTACTGCTGGACAGTCAGATTTGGAAGGGATCTACACAGAGATGATAGAACCTATAAAAGATAAAGAAATCACCAAAAGAAAGGGTGGAAAGAGATGAAAAGAGAGTCCAGGACAGAACCTTAGGGCACACCAATGGTTAGAGAACAGAACATAGAAGATGATCCAGCAAAAGAGACTGAGAAGAAAAAGTCAACCAAATATGAGGACAACTAAGATAAAGTAGTGGTGCAAAAACCCAGGAAGGAAAGAGTATCCAAGTGGAGGGTTTGACACAGTGGTATTATATGCCAGAAAAAGGTCAAGGATAAGTACTAACTTTTCTTGAGAAAAGTCCCCTAGATTTAGAAATGAAGAGATCACGGTAAACTTGCAAAGAGCAGTTTTAGTATGGTGAAGAGGTTAGAACTCTCAAGAGGTAGGAAAATGGGAGGTGAGGAAATGGAGGCAACGAAGACAGGAAGCTTTTTCTCAGAGTTTAACTGTAAAAGGAAGGCGAGCCTGAGAACAATAGCTAGAGGAAAGGTAGGTTCAAGTGATGAACATTTTGGGAAGAAGAGTCAGAATCTGGTCCTCATGAGGCTTTTACAGGGTAATAATTTCCTGACTTGCCATAATGATAATGTCATCCTTCAAAAGATTTAGGATCTAACAAGGGAGAAATCTAGATCTGATTTTCATCAACAGGGAGGAAAAGGTGTTGCAGTAGAAAAGATGGGAATCTTGCAGGTAGACAGGGTAACCATTCTATCTTCTGTGATAGGGGAAGAAAAAAAAAAAAAAGAGAAGGCCAGGCACAGTCTGATACATACTCTAGATTTGGTGAATGTAGATTTCAAAACATTTGCAGGAAAAATAGTAAGGATACTACAGTCTAAAATTCTATCTGGAAAGTTAGGTCAAGGGGGTGGTAAACTTTCAAGAATGGAATCTGGAAGACACAAAGAAAAACAATTCTGATATGAGGAAAAATAGTTAATTGTCTGAAGAGTTGGGAGGATAAGAAACCAGATGAATGAATACAAAAGCATAGATTAATACTCTAAGAGGAGTTTCAGAAGTGCTACATTACAGAATGAGGTAAGCTGTCAAGAAAAGCTGAGGATAAAAAGGGGCTTTTGAAAAGCTATCCTGGGAAAAGAGGAGGATCAGAGAATAAAGAAAACTGCTGCCCCTCAAGAATGCGATGAAGACAGCTACCAGAGAAAAGGTAGAAACAACCAATCCTTATTTTGCTCCTCTTCTCTTTGCCAAGGAGAAGGTAAAATGGCTAATATGAAAACATATGCCAATATTAGCAAGATGATAGGAAGAGTTCAAGCACCTACTTGACTTTGATGAATTCAAATCACCCAGCCCAGATGAACTACATTGTAAAATACTGAAAAAATGATGCGACTGCTGAGCCACTGTCAGTTAAATTTGAAAGATCATGGAAAACGGAAGCAGCACTGAAGGAGTTGACAGGTGCAAATGTCCTGATTTTCAATAGAAAAGCAATGAAATCTATAAACTATTGGCCAATGACTGATGCCTGGGAACATTCCAGAACAGCTCATTAAAGAGATGGTTAGTGAACATTTAGAAAAAGATGTAATGTTACAAAAAACCAGCACTGGCTTCAGTAAGAACAGGTCAGGTCTGACTAATCTCATTTCCTTTTATAAAGGGGTTAATACTTGGGTAGATAAGAAAATGCTGTAGCTATAGTCCCCCTAGATTTGAGCCAAGCACTTGATAATTTACATTAATAAACAGTATTCTTATGGAAAAGATGCTTGTGCAAGCCTATAATACAATTAGATGGATTTGGACCTTGCAAAATGAACAAACTGCAAGAGTAATCATTAATGTAAACTTGGAAGGAAGTCTCACAGTAAAGGGCTTACGGGATGGATCTGTGTTTGACTCTATCATAAAAGTTAGCTGATATGAATTTGAATCTTACCATGTTCTGATTAGGAGAAATTCCACTTCTGATGGTGGTGTTGCCAGGCTGAGCAGGTAGAGTTGTGGAGGATCCCAAAAGGTCTTGCTTTCTTACTAGCTGATTTTCATTCAGTTCTTTATTTAGCCATGTGATTACTTCATAAAAGAAAAACAAATAAATTCAAACATTTGGCTTTGCCCTTCTATTTTTGCATTTGTGTCAAACACATTTAAAACCTGTATTACACTTCAAAACTAATCTTCTGAATTCCAAAAAACATTGCCAACTCTCCTAATGTGTCAGCAGAGACAATATATAGGATTATCTAAATCTTTCCAAATAAAAATGTTATGTTTTGATTTGCTAATCACCATATAGGTCAGTTCTCACCTGCTGTTGAAACTTCAGTAGAAAGTTCATTCAGCCAGTCAATAAACATTTATTAAGCACTTACTATGTGTCAGGCACTTGACCTAAGCACTAGGGATATAAAAACAAAAGGGGCAGCTAGGTGGCACAGTGGATAGATTGGCCCTGGAGTCAGGAAGACCTGAGTTCAAATCCAGACTCAGACACTTGACACTAGCTGTGTGACCTTGGGCAAGTCATTTAACCCCGAATGCCTCACAAAAAATAAATAAATAAAAGACAGTCCCTGCTCTCAAGTAGCTCATACTCTAATGGTAGAAACAACATGCAAATCATTATGTACAAACTGTAACGGATAAACTGGAAATAATTAACAGAGGGAAGGCACTAGAATTAGGGAGATCAGGAAAGACTTCCTGAGGGAAGCAGAATTTATTAAGGACTTGATGGAAGCCAGGGAAGCCAGGAAATAGAATTGTGAAGCATTTGAGGCTTGGGGGAATAACCAGTAAGAACGCCCAGAGTTGGGAGACAAAGTGTCTTATTAGTGGAATAGCAAAGAGATCAGTGTTACTAGATCAGAGTACATGGTGGGGTATAAAGTAAGAAGATTCAAAAGGTTGGTGGGGTGGGAAGGGGTGGAAAGGGGTGGAGTGGGAAGGGGAGGGCACGAGGTGCAAAGCAGATTATGAAGAACTTCAAAGATCAAACAAGAGGAATTTGTATTTAATCCTAGAGGTAGACAGGGAACCACTGGTGTTTACTAACTAAGGGGGGGTGACATGGTCAGGCCTTCATATTCTCTGGCAGCTAAAGTGTATCTATTCTTTTAAAAAATTACTTTTACTGTTATCATTAATTTTTACATTGCCCACATTTCTGAATATTTCCTTTCCCACTCCTTCCACCAGAGCTCTATCCCTTCTAACAAAGAATTTTAAAAGGGAAAGGGTCTGGTTTAATCTACTCATAACAGAACTAATTTCAAAATAAACATTACTTCAAATTCCAAATTTAAAAAATTAAATAAATTTCAAAATGTAGTATCTCTACAATAAAAATGAGAAAAGGAATCACTCTCAGATAACCTCCCTACACACAGTTAGATAACACTGTGGCAGAGTTACAATCTAGATGCCCCTACTATATTGTCAAGTATTAACAAATATTAATCATCTAACAATGCCATGAGAATGGTGACAAAAAGTAGTAAGATTATAATGCAAGGAAAAGTCTGGCATTCTCAGATACCTTGAAAAGCATTTTTTTTTAAAATTCAAAACTGGACATGTAACTGTTATTCTTTTGAGTCTTATGTAAAATAAAATCCAGGATAAAGAAGTTAACTAAAAAACAGAATTACAGGATTTCATTTAAAAATTTTAATTATCAAAGACCATACTCGCAATACTTCTTCACTTATTAGACAAATATTTACTGAACTCCTGCTGTGTACAAGGCACTAGTGATGTTGGAGTAAGATACAGTCTCTACCCCCAAAGAGTATATGGTCTCATAAAAGGTAACAATGAAACATGTACACAAACAATAACAAAAGGTAGGATGAAATGAGTGTGTATAATAAGAAAAGTAAAGGAATAATTAAAAAAAAAAAAGTTCCATGGAGAACATGGCATTTGAGCCAAATTCTTAACAAAAAGATGGGAAATTAGTCCGATCTAAGAAGGGTATTCCACCTCCCACTCCCATAACTACGATAGTAATTTTTTATATATTATGTATATACATATATTATACATGTTACTTCCTCTCATTAGAAAATAAGTTCTTTGAGGGCAAATAAATTTAAGTACAATCTTTAAGTACAAAAGTAAAATGGAGAGGTTTTGTTCTTAAAGAAGCAACTAGGTAGGCTAGGAGTGGCTACCTAGAAATGTAAACCTTAAAGTGCCATCCATCCATACGTTAGCTATTTTCATTCAACAAACTTACATTTTTCATTATTCTTCAGAAGCTGTTTGCTCTCTTCAAGTTTTTGTACTGTAACTTCTAACTGTTCTTGCAATTTGCTTACCTGAAATATTTCAATATAATTAAGTCATGTACTGGAAAAGCTAAAATAGGATTAAGAAGTTGAAGGAATTATTTATTCCAATGAAGTGATGAAAAACATAAAAACTTAACGTATGCTGAGTCAAAATACCTGACTTTTTCAAACCAAACAGGCAAATTTCATTATTTCGAGTTAATGGTTTAATTATATTTAACTTCAATCCAATCAGATTCTTTTGTAAAAAATTTTTAAAAATTCTCCAACATTGAATTTCATTCCTAAACAATAGCTACAATTTATAGGACTACATTAAATCTTCATAAACAGTCAAGATATAGTTTTGAAAATTATTAAATATTAACTACCTCTTGCTCTTTACTTCGGAGAGCTTGTCCAATATCTTGTACCTCCTTTTGTTCTTTTTTCAATTTTTCTTCCTTTTCAGCTAGTAGTTTTTCTTGCTGAATTGTAACTGTATTCTTCAGTTTTAATTTGCTCATTAGAGTTTTGATATCACCTTGTAATTTCTTGATAATTTCATTTGCCTGTGAAATATTCTCATCAGATACACTACTAAACATAATGCCATAGCATACATGAAGAATTCTCTTAAACATCTTAAAACAAACCTTAAGAAGTTCAGCAGATAATGATTTTATTGTGGCTTCAAGTTTTCCTAACTGTACCCGATTCTTCTCTCCATTTTCTTCTAGGGCCACCTAAATTATAAAATATTAAAAATTGAACCCTTTGTGCTCCTTGGAAGAAGTGCAACTTACTAATGTGTTTATTAGTTAAAATATTTTTTAATGCATTACCTTTTGTTCCTGAATTGTGTCAAATGCTTCTTTTGTTCTTATAACAAGCTGATCTTTATCTTTAATTTCCTGTTCCAAAACAGCTACTTTAGTTTGAAGCTGATTAATGTGCTTCTCTTTTTCATGACATTCAGCATCAAGAGTAGAATTCTCTCTTCTCAAGGAAAGGACTTCTTGCTTAGCCCTCTGGCACTCCTAAAATAGAAAAAATTATTATAAATATGTGTTGGTTCTAATTAGAGATAATAAGGTTGAAAATATAAACGAGTCAACTAAGTTTCTAGTACAAGTAATTTAAAAGAGCTTTAAAAAATCTGTGCTGTATCTACATCTGTTTTATAATTCGGTCTGTTATAGAAGAAAAGAATCCTTACAATCAAATTAAGGGAAAAGTCACCAGAAATTTGTCAACAGATATGAATAAACTAATACAAGACTTTTTTAAAAAGTCTACCATTTAGCAAAAACATAAAGAAACTTTTCGAGACCTAAATTTTATTTATCTGAATTAATGCCTCACTTTTTAACAATTCTTAAATTTTTTTTTCGATCATCAAAACAATGTTGCAAACAAAACAAATTTCTGTATTGGCCTCATGCAAAAAAATATGTCTTACTCCGAATTCAGTCCTTCACCTCTATGAGGAAATAGGTAGCCTGTTTCATCATCAGTCCTCTGGAATTATGGTTAGTAATGACATTGATCAGACTTCCTAATTATTTCAAAACTGTCTTTACCATATTGTTTGCACTGTATAAATTGTTCTGCTCACTTGATTCTGTATCAATTCATAAAAGTCTTCCCAGGTCTCTATGAAAACACCTCCTTCATTTCTTTTCTTTTCTTTTTTTTTTCAGTAAGGCAATAGGGGTTAAGTCACTTTGCCCAGAGTCACACAGCTACTAAGTGTTATATGTCTGAGGTCAAATTTGAACTCAGGTCCTGCTGACTCCAAGGCTAGTGCTCTATCCACTGTGCCACCTAGCTGCCCCTCCTTCAACATTAAATAGCACAATAGTATTTCATCACATTCATACATTACACTTTGCTCAGCCATTCTCAAGCTTATGGGAACCCCTTCACATTCCCATTCTTTGCCACCTCAAAAAGAGCTTTATTTTTCTACACCTTTAGTTTATTTTCCTCAGGCCTAATAATCCTTCCCTTAATCTACACTCCCACTAATTTCTTTTCAGTCTTTCTCCCCCTTCCTTCCCATTTTCCTGTTAAAATTTATTTTTGTACCTAACTGTATGTGTGTGTATATATATTCTTCTCTCTCTTTTGACAAGTTCAGATGAGAGTCAAGTTCGAATGTGAGCAGTTCCCTAACCCATCTTGTTTGTATAGATGTTTAGATCAGTGACCCATAATTGGGTAGTGGGCAACAAAACTGCCAAATGGCGCCGGTCCTTATCAAGGTGCTTCAGCATACATCTGGGACTTCCATTTGCGCTGGTACACAGCTTATCTCTATATTGCAATGCTCAGCACAGAATAGCATTCCTGGCCAGATCTCATCCCTAGTATCTGATGACCTTTCTGTCTCCCTAAGATGCCGTAGGCCAGAAAAATGACTCACTGATGTTTTTTTGGATATCCCTATCATGATTTGGACTACCAAGTTTTCTAGATCTGTTTGGAGTAGTTTTGGGGGGAGCCTGATTACTGCTTCATCAATAATAAGTATTTACTAATAACTCACAATTACATCACAATTTAAGATTTACCAAACAATTGCTTTACAATAATCCTATGGGAAAGGAAGTACTTATACTGCCACCCTCATATTACAAATAAGAAAATAGTCTCTGGAAGATTGTGACTTCCAGCTCTCTTGGTAGAAAGTGATGTGACAGTAGTAAAAGAAAGGACTACAAATCTTTTAGAGAGTATCTAGTCCAACGTCTTCATTTTAACAGATGATGAGACCAAAGTCCAAAGAGATTAAGTGATTTATCCCAAGTAACACAGCTAGTAAATGGCAAAGCTCTGGCTTGAACCCAGATTCTCAGACTCCAAAACTAGTGTCCTTTCCAGGTTCCTGAGTAATACAAAATAGCTACCAAGAAATTAAGCACTTTCAAATTTAGAGAGCCATATTTCCCAGTTGCTTCTTTGGACCTTGACTAAAAGGGAAAAAATTTATTATGTTATTATTCTAATCCCTACTGAAGCCTTTTTAATATAATTTCCAGAATCTCTGTAGATTTTCTTCGAACCATCAGTATTTGTCACCCCACCAAAACAAGCGAATAATTTAATTACATCTAATAAATGATAAAATAAATATCTACCAAATAAAAGCACTGTTTTCAATTACAAAAAGAAAGTATTCCATACATCTTCTGCACCAGAGAGTTTTGCTTTAAGTTCTCTAATGGTGGAGTCTCCTTTGTACTTTCTTTCTGTTAAGTCTTTATTGGCCGTCTCCAATTCTGACAATCTGCTCTGAAGCTGGTGAACGTTTCTTTGATGTATGTTTTCTAGTTCTTTTTTCTGTTGTTCATGTTGTTGCTGAGATTGAACCTGTGCCTACGTAGATAAATGAAAGTATAATTAACAAAAAATTAAGAGAAGACAAAAAGAAATATGAAAGAAATATATGTGAACATGTTCTAAATTCTTTTCTGAAAATATTAACTTTCCCCTATTTTAAAAAATGTTCAACTTAAGCCTGTGGAATAATTTCAAACATGAGCATATCACCTTGTTTTGTAACAGGGCAGCATATTTTCCCAACACTCCTCTGGGGCCAAATTTGGTCATTATAATTGTATAATACTCAGTTTTGTTTTCCAAAAGGTTCCTTCAGAATTACTATAATCAAATTATTTCATTAACTAAGAATTTTACATATTTCCATTTGTGTTCATACCTGGAGGGCTTTTTCCTTCTCATTTGTCAGTTCTTGAGAATGCTTGTTTGTCAGTGCTGCTGTGTGTGATGTCCATTCATTTCGTAACTTATCTAATTCCTGAATCTTTTCTGACAACGTCTGTACAGTTTTAAACACAAATATTAAAAAAGGGAAATGAAGAACTAATAACATGTCAATATTAATGGCAAGTGTTGAATCCCCCCTCAAGTTTTGCTAGAGCTCTTCCATTTCCTGTCCTGTAAAGCACAATCTCCTTGAAGGCAAGAGCTGTCTTCTTTCAGTCTTTGGATTCTCAATGCCTAGCATGGTACTTTGGACACTGTCAGTGCCTACTATACCTTGAGTTTATTTGAATTAAATTACACAATCATAATGCTTTTTCCGTACATGTGGAAGACAAAGAAACATCACCCTGATGAGGAGAAATGATTTATAGGCCCCTTCCTTGTACCCAGACCCTCTATCTTCACTTCCAGTGCTCTCTTCATTGCACCATGAGGAAGTAGTCTTCGTGCTACAGCAACTGCTATTTCATTGTTAGAAACCTTTAGAGGACCCAGATAGAGTAAGAGCTAGCACTGGAATCGTAGTGTAGCGTAGCATAGCATAGCATAGCATAAAGTTTACAAAGCACATTTCATGTTAACTCATTTTATCTTCACAATCAAAACCAAAAACTTCCAAAATCCAGAAGCAGCAAGGTAAAAAAAAGGAACAAAGGAGGACAGGAGTATTTCTAGCCCCATTTCTACCATTACCATTGATGTTTTGCTAATAAGAAGAAAAGTTGAATGGTATGATTAAAGAAAGGTTCCCTCACCTAAAAACATTTTCCCTATGTGGCAAGGTATTTCACTAATTGGGAGATTTACTCAGGTCTGTGAACAAACACTCTCAGAGGAATATTCAAATTCCCTAAGGATTAGTTTAATAAAATATCTTTCCTTAAAATACCTGACAGGCACTGAAGAAAAGGAGTTTTAACTAAGGGAGGAAAAAAAGGAACTAAAGCAAGGCAGAGACATTTCAGAGGAATTATCTCTCTTATAGCAAAGAGGAATTTTGGAGAGCCTGAGGATACTGGGTTCTTTTGGAGGGCCATGGTATAGCAGAAGGTAGGAAAGGGACAGATATAATGAAAGTGAGTGGGAAGCACTAAAGACAAATCATTTCAAAATTTGGCCTTTTCTCTTCCTACCTTCAAAAAAATAAACAGTTGTCTGTCTTTTAAGCCCTTCCCCTCTTTGCCAGACTTTATCTGTCCTTTCCAACCCCTATCTCTAGCCCCTTCCCCTCCACAAAAGATGTGAGGAGCTGATTTAAGCACTAATGCAGAACTTAAGGTCAGCTGGAAAATGATGCCAAGTGATAACCCCAGAACTAGCTGCATCCGACATACAGAAATGAGCTATAGACAGCTGACCATTCATTAAATTTAGAGGCAATGATTGTCCTCCTCTGTAGCCCAGTCCCACTGGGAAAGAGGCAGGACATTTTAGACAAATAGAATGGCACTGAATAAATACTAAAGATGGGAATAACTATAGGATCAAAAGAATGTTTGGACAGAGCAAAAGATTTGAGCTGGGATTTACATTCTGTATATAAATGAAGGTGACTATTTTTTAGTTTTATTTTTGCTTTTGTGGTGGAGTAGTCTGACAACTGAGGGGCATTAAAAAGATGATTAACTAAGAAAAAAAGGTAAAATTTTGAATTACCTGTTGTGTAAAGTTTAACTGCCTGGTAACATCCTCTAGTGTTTGCTCCAATGATAATTTTTCTTCCTATTAAAAAACAAAGTTAATCAATTTTTAATTTAAGTACTAGTCCCAAAACAACATTTCTAAGATCAAAGGAATTATGCAGAAAGCTTAGCAAACCTTAAGTGCTATATAAATGCTAGCTATTATTACAAATCAGAAAATGCCCAAGCATACCTGTTTTCTCTATAGGAAATAAGCAGTTTATGTTTATATGGCAATTTATACTTTTCAGGGAATTTTCATGTTTCCTTATTTAAGATGGAGTAGGAAGGGGGTGCTTTTTATTACTTACATTTGGCAACTGAGATAACCCGGGCACCAAAAGATTACCTGACTTGCTCAGTCACTGAGTTAACTGGTAACAATTTCGAGACAACATTTTCCAGACTTCTAATCTAGTACTTCTTTTTATTATGCTGCACTATCTCCTCTACAATGAACATTCTAAAATAAACTCAAAAATGAGATGGAAATTTGCCTCTTTTAAACTACCTATTTATACTTACTCAAACACATTGTATGAGAGCAAATGTCCAAATTCCTGAATATTTTATGATAGTTCTTTTGTACTCAATTAAAAAAGAACAAAATCAGAGAATTTTAGAGCTAGAAGGGACCTTAGAAATAACTAGTCTAACTAACTGTCTTGATTTTACAGATGAAGAAAATGCCTCCCAGAAAGGCAGTGTGCAAATTCAAACCTTACCTTGCTACATTTCAAACAGCCTGCTAAAAATTTCTTTATTTCCATATCATTTCCAGGTAGAAGTTTTAGAGAAAGATGTGTAAGATGCTTAAAGGGATTTGTCTCCACCACATTTAAAAATACAGGTGAGTGATCCAAGATGGCTGCTGTAGAAACTAACTGTAGCAAAAACCTTTAAAGGAAAGTTTACACATTAAAATATTTAGCAAGGTGGTGAAGCTGTAACATTAAATCAAAGGCACTGCCCTTAATGGGTATACATGAGGACATATCTCAAGATACTGACAACAGTATCTATCTGCCATATTTAAAAACAAACTAACAAAGGTGGGGACACACAGGAAAACCCTTAACTTCACAATTAAAATAAGGCTTACAGTGTCTGTCTAGAAGGTACAATGATATAAGCCCTGAACTGGAAACCAGCTAACAATTGTTCCTAGCATAAACATCTAATTCTTCAAAAACAACATCTGCAGAGCTCCAGTCCTAACCCAAGGTATCAGGAGAGAAAATAAAATGTTCCTTGAGCTTGAAGGACTTGTGGCAGGGTAGAAGACAGGCACTTAAGTTCAAAGTTTCATTATACAAATATTTTAACAAAGAAATGCATTGAAAAACATTCCGGCATATTATATATAATATTTGATTATCACATAATTTTGAGTTTGTATAAATGCAAAACCTCTGGACAAATATATGAAAAAGACTAATTAAAAAGAACTAAATTGAAAGATTGAAAATTTAGCCTCCATTTTTTATTTGAATATGGCCAAAAAGCATTTATAAGGCTAAATTAAATACAAATTCAAATTTTGCACAAAGTATACAAAAAGGTTTCATTATAAACTGGCATTTGTGCTAAATAACTTTCTAAAAAATTTCCCAGAAATAACACAAATAAAACTGCATTTGGAAAAATATTCTGAAAAGAATTTTAGACAGCAGATATATTTAAATTCTTTTCTTTTTCCATATAAGTGCTTCTATCCTTCATTAAAAAAACAAAAACAAAAACAAAACAAACACACATACCTAAGATCAAACTTTTGTTAAAATAGTTTCAATGACTTTATCTAGATTTGGGAAATGAAGGAAATATACTACTATTGATTTTAATAAAGACAATTTGAAATTTTAGGTTTAATGAAAGCTAAATAAAAAAAAAAAGACAGAGGTATTCATAACACATGGAGAAACCTTGGGTATATGAAATGCCTTTCAGGAAAATTTGGTCTAAGATTGCTTAGTAACACAGTGTCCTCATGAGACTTACCGTGGAATTTCTTTGCCTTGTTCCTGGGTACATTGCTGCAGTAGATCTATAAATTTTTGTGGAAAAGCTGAAAAGTCTACCAGAAGACCTTGCTGCAGTTTCAAACTACATATATGTGAAATCAGAGATAAGAAAAGGCAAATTTTAAAATTTGGATATCGTAATTTTAACATTCTGTCTTAGTAATTAGCAATGTTAATCAATAGTATTCAATGTCCTCAAAATCAATTTAACTCAAGCTGCAACTTTTCTATTTTTAACTTTTCTATTTTTTCTATTTTTATAATGATATGCTCTAAAAAACACTCTCACAAACTTGCAAATATTCTGAATAGAATTAGTTTATAAACACATAATTTCTCCAAATTACACAGAAAATTCCAATATATTCAAAGTTGCTAAAAGGCTACCAATATACCCATAAAACATTAAGAAATTAAAGCATATATTCAAATTTAATTAGATAAAACAAAGAAAACTCTTAAGTCATCAACTTACCTCTGAAAATCTTCCTCAGATATAACAAGGTTATACAGAAAAAATGGATCAGCATCATCAGTCAACTGAATGACTAAATCCTACGAGAAAGATTTGTTTTATTTAAGTGCATATAGAACTTGCAAATTAGTTAATTGCTTCTTTCTTAGAAGTAAAATCATCTGATATGGAAAAAATATTCTCACTCAGTTCTCATGATAATTACTGCCGAATGGCACTATCATCATGCAGAAACCTAGAGGTTAAAACCTCCATTTTGATTATGGCTCAAGCATATAGGTTGAGAGCTGAGAAAAATAACACTGTTAAAGTTCTAACAAAGCTTATACAGTCTTCAACTACAGAGCCAGAGAAATCATTTTTGTTTACAGCCTACACAAGGGAGACTGAATCTCAAATATTATCCAGGGGAAGAAACAAAATTTTACAGCTATAAACTTAAAGGAATTACTTTTCAAAGCTAGGTTTGTGAGACTTACACTTCAAGGTTACATCTGGAGTGTTTACAATGGGCTAATTGAGAGGGAAGATGTATATGCCAAAAGACAACCACAAGGTCAGAGCAAATTGGGATCCTTCCACAAGTCAAATTATATCATTTGGGAAGCAATGACTAAAATTGTGGGTGTAATAAATTCTTTTATTCTCTCTTTGGCTTCTTATTTCAGGTATATAAGAGCCTTCACTTAAAGCTAATAAAAGGGACTCAGAAACTCTTACAACACATCCGACATCAAGGTATCACAATCACTTTAGGTCTAGTTCTGCACTTATATTATTCAAGGCTTTTCATAATTCTTTTTTTTTAACTTAATATTTACTCTAGCCTACAATAGGATGGCCAATACTCTGACAACCATATACAGGTGAAAGAATTCTGAGAGATTCAGGAATACATAGGTACAGCTTATTGGCAAGATGCCACATCTTTACACATGTTTTATTCCTACCTGTATCATACTTGGCTAATTCTAACTTAAAAGGAATATACAGGAGCAATAACAGAATTTAAGCCCATACTGTACAACCTCCTCATTTCAGAGATAAGGAAATTGAGGGCTAGAGGCTAGGTTTCTTGCCCAAGGTTAGGTTTCTGAACAAGATTTTGTCAGTCCTCTTTTAAGCAAAGAAATCAAGAGGACTGACAAATAACTTATTCCCCTCAGAAAAGGAGGGGGAAAAAAGGAACCCTTTTCTCTAACAAGGGTATCAGATATCAGGTTGTTATGGTTGCACACAAACCAATTCTGTTCAGCTCCAGGTGGCTGGTGAAGTAGCATTTGAGATCCATCTGTCTGTCTCTAGTGCCAAAACAATGGTCTTTTACTATGAGATTTAAGTTTATTTCGTAGGCAGTTCAGAATTACAACACTAGAAGACTGACCATTAGAGTAATCAGTCTTCACAGCACAGTAGATAGGGATGGGAAAATTAGGAAAGAATGTTAGTAAAACATAGAGAGACAAGGTTAGAGCAGAGAATGAGAAAGATATGGCAGAAGATGCTAGCACAGAACAAAAGTTTCGGGAAAAAAAATTTATTCATGACTAATAAGTATACCTAGTATGGCTTTTAGGGCCCCAGAAATAAGTATAGAAGAGTTAGAAAAGGAAGTGAAGAAATGAACTTTACTATTCCTCGGAATACCTGGTGTGTAAGTCAACATTACTTAAGTCCTTTCTCAGGCTGGACCAAAATGCTATGAAGTACTACTGCTGAAAGGTTCTGAGGACTTTGTATATATGTAGTCCTGGGGTAATAATACTAGGGAACTAGTCAGCAAGAAAGGTGCTTTGTCCTTAGTAAACTTAATATCAATTTTTATTTTCTGGCCAGGCAATGGGGTTAAGTGATTTGCCCATGGTCACACAGCTAGTTAAATGTCAAGTGTCTGAGGCAGGATTTGAACTCAGGTCCTCCTGACTCCAGGGCTGGCGCTCTATCCACTTCACCACATAGCCCCTTAATATCAATTATTTATGCTGCATACAGTTACTTATGAATAAAGGGGAAGCAGGAAGTATAAAAACACTGGATAAAGGACTGTAACGTAGATCAGTCTTTGTTCTAACCTCATGATACCTTGCTATGTATACAGAAAGATCAAGCCTAAAACTTCAACCATCTTTCCTAAAGCTGCTTCTTGGCTCAGCCTCAGCTTCATTCCTAGATTCAAGGCCCTACAAATTTCAGAATCAATAAATTTTTGGTAGAGGGGCCTTTGAATATTGTGTTTAAAAGTCTTAGCAATGATGGGTAAACTAAATTGAACCTTTTGTGATAAAGACTATATGGACAAAAACATATTCTCTTATATACAAGGACTACATCTATGTAATCCAAAGTGTAGGAGCAGGATTATATTTCTTAGTTTTATATTCTATGCCCTTGTCACTGCTCAGTTTTCAATTTTTCAAGTACAAATGAGGCTGGCATGTGCCAGTAACTGTGGTTTCATTGTTCTCTTAAGTATTATTCTTCAGTCTTCTTAATTACTACTTTTCCCAAAGGAAAAACATCCTAAAACTCTTCCTCTGCCATACTTTTTGTCTGATTTTTACATTTACACTATTGTGTTTGTTCTCTAGAATCCTATTTTCTAGAATAGAAATATATTTCTATATTAACAAGTGGAATCTCATACTTTTTTAAGGAACCATTTCCCCTTAACTGACCCCCTCAACCTGAATGCTTTATAAAGATAGTGCATATTCTCTTTTAAATACCTAAGTCAGGGGTGGGGAACCTGCCACCTCAGGGCCACATGTGGCCCTCTAGGTCCTCAAGTGATTAAATTCATTCAGTCAAAGGTTTGTATTTGAGGACCAAGAGGGCCACATGTGGCCCTGAGGTCAAAGGTTCCCCAACCCGAGTCCTAAGTAGTTTCTACAACCTCAGATTTCCAACAGATATAAAAAGATCAAAATTTAAAAAAATAAAATAAAACAAAAAACAAAACCAGAACGGTGGCAAAGAGTGTGTATACAAAAGAAATGAATGAATTAGCTGTCTAGTATCTAAGATATTATTAAATTAGAAATCAGAAATACCAACCTTTCGATGTACTGGATTAGAAACTGCTTGGAGTTCAATGCTCACTCTAACATTTACTCTTCTGTTTAAAAACAGATGCACAACTGTTAAAAACACTCAAAATGATTAAATGCTGCCATCTGTACTATGTAGAAATTTCTAACAGGCTATCTAGGAAGAAAAAACAACAAAGGAGGCAGAATTTGAGTTTTGGCATTTCTGGGTGAACTGAGGAAATTGTTTTGACCTCTCTAGGTCTCAGTATCCCTATCTACAAACCTTCCCTAACCCAACTCCATTCCAACAAAATCTGAAATGAAATAACATAAGGCTGATGGCCCACATGGCTCTCCATGAACAGCAAAATCTGCCAATTAAAACTCAGTCCTCTTCTTCCTGGCAACTTTCTCTGATTAGGTAGAAAGTACTTGCTGATCTACATAAAGTAAATCTAATCCCCATGCTTCCCCCTCTACGCTTTAGATAACAGACATATCACACATACATACATGAATGTATCTCATGCATGTATGCACATAAACACATAATCAGCACCGGTAACTGGAGGCATCTATTTTCTATGCATTGTCTGAACATGCAATATAGTTTAGGGCCCAGAGAGCTGGACTTGCAGGCAGGAAGACCTGGTTTGAATCCTGCTAAATGGTTGGTTGGTTGTTGTCCTTAGTTCTCAAAGAGGCCCAAAATGACATCACTATGCTAGAGTCAAGTTACAGTGAGTCTGACTGTGGCTGATCAGACCAACATGAGCTTGGAATGTTCTACCACAGGTCGGACACAAACAGTCCATGTACACATTTGTCCATCTTGAGTTTCTTTTGAGCTACTTCAATTCTGCTTTGCTCATAGAGCATATTACCTTCTTTGATGAGGGCATGCCATACTGGGCAAATCCTGCTACATATTTACTAACTGTATAACCTTAGGCAAGTCATGTTTGCAGTGTCCCTCAGTTTCCCCATTTGTAAAATGGGAATCACTGCATATACCTCACAAGATTGTTATAAGGATAAAATAAAATGAAATATATAAATGTGCTTTACAAATCTTAGGAGTATAAATGCTAGCTATTGCATATACTAGTGGCACATCATAAAGATGAAATAAGTTGAGAAAAAATAGCCAAATCAGATTATTATATAAAAGCAAGGAGCTGAAAAATAAACATCACAACAAAGCTAAGAATTGTCTAAAAGAAAAAAAAATAGTCTTTTTCTATAAAGATGTTTAAAACAATGGTTTTTTTCCTGATGAATTGAATGCAGATTTAAGTTTTTTTTTCACTTTATCTTACTTTTTTTGCAACATGGCAAATGTGGAAAAAATGTTTTGCATGACTTCATATGTATAATGTGTACCATATTTCTTGCTTTCACAATGGGTAGTGAAGGGGGTAGGAGATACTTTAGAACTGAAAAATAAATTTTAAAAATAAATAAAAACAATGTTATAAATGAGTAGGTACTGCTTATTTAGGAGATCCCAATATAATCTGATTTATAATCCAATTTACAATATAATTTATGTGTAATTTATAAAGCACATTAGGCAATCAGGATTGAAGCTCTCTAATTCTGGATCTGTAACATGAAGTCTGATCTTGGGCAAGTTGTTTATCTGCTCTACCTCAGTATTTTCATCTATAAAATTGCCTATTATGTGCCAGGCATTGTACTGAGAACTGGGAATACAGAAAAAAATATTAAGTCCCTGTTTTCAAGGAGCTCACAATATAACGGAGGAGACAGACAGGCAAAAAAACCCACAACTATGTACAAATAAGACATATACAGGATAAACCGGAGATAATCTCAGGGGGAAGAAGGTAGGACTTGAGTTGAGACTTGAAGGAAGCCACTGAAGCCTAAAGACTTGGATGAGGTGGAGAGAGATCCAGGCAACACCTGCCTTTATGCTCTTCCTAGAAGATAACACTCTGTGCCTTTCTGACTCCCATGCCTGGAATAATGCTCTTCCCTCCTCACTTCCACCCACTTGCTTCCTCCAAGATTTAGCTCAAATTTCACCTTTTACAGAAGACTTTCCAGGTTCCAGCAAAGGTTAGTGCCTTTCCTCTGAGATTACCACACATTTGCACTGTCTATATTTTGTACATTCATAGTCCTTTATATACTATCTCCACCAACTGAATGTGAGCTCCTTGAGGGCAGGGACTGTTCTTTACATGCCAGTACTTAAATTCTTTTTTTTTAAATATTTAATTTTCCCCTCAATTACTTGTAAAAAATTTTTCACACATCTATTTTTTAAAATTTTGAGTTCCAAATTCTCTCCCTCTCTTTCCCTCCCTCATTGAGAAGGTGATTTAGGTTACGCATGTGCAGTCATACAAAACATTTCCTGTGCTTAAATTCTTGTTGAATGACTAAACCTTGGAGAAACTTCCCTACACAGATGTACTAACATTAATTTGGGTCTCCTCTTAAAGTTAGGAACCAATTTTCTTCAATACCACACTGTCCTTTTTTCCTTTCCTTAAAAGCTGAAAATCTCACCTACCTCATAAATTTTGGAGTTAGCTCTTAGATTTAAAACAAATTTATCAAGTCCTGTCTTAAGCTACTCTTCATATTACTCTAGGAGTATCATAGTATCCTCTTTCCCCCAAACAAGTTAAGCATGCTGTTTTTCATGTCCCCAAATTCTAGTCCCCTGCACTCAGCATTAGGGAAATAAAAACTAACACAAATTAAGCCTGTTTTGAGCATATTTAAAAGAATCCATAGAAATGTGCAGTCATGCCCTAGAGCTTTCAGTCAAAACAATTCTGAAAGCCATATAAATTATACTTTCTTCACAGCGTATTGCTATGGTATTTAAAATGATAGATGGTATATAATATTTCACATTCTAAACAATGCACTGGGCAAAAAGTGCCCTGTATTATATATGGTTAAGGCTCCTAACATTTAGCAAAAAAAAAAAAGTTATTTTATAAAATAATCGTATCTCCTCTAAACAGGGTGGTTTTGGAAGAAAAATACTGGAGCAGGAACAGAAGATTCCTTCACTTCCTTTAAGCTGTATAAAATGTGGATCACTGAACTAGATAGCTCACATTTATTTAGTATTGTATTATAAGGTTTGTATAGAACTTGTAGAAGAACCCAGGAACTTGATACCCATTTTACAGGTAGGGAAACTGGGAATAAAAGGTTAAGTGACTTAACCAAGATCATAAGAAGCTGAGGCAGTCTGAATCCTGGTCATTCTGACTCTGAGTCCAGCACTCTATACATCATGCCAAACTGGTTCAAATTCCTATGATTCTAATAATTAGCATCGAATTACGAAGACTTTATTTTGACTTAATCAACAACCTCACCTCAAATTTAGAGGGTTTTTCTAACCCAAAAGGATACAATTATAACTTCTTTTTCAATCCCTCTTCAAAACTCCATTTAAAAATACCTTCAGTTATACCGTATCTTAAAGTTGGCTCAGGCATAACTCTTCTTTCTTCTCTCTCAGTGTTTGGCACTACCTTGTTAACCAGCAGTTTGTGAACGTTAACAGCAGTAAATTCCAACTTACAGCTACCTTCCAGATTTTTTCAAAGCATTATCTTTCACAGAGACAGGCAGGGCTAGTATTATCTCCATTTTACAGACGAATCAAAGAGTAAAAAGTGACTTGTCCAGGAGGATGCAGTTGTATCAGAGGCGAGATTCAAACATAGGTCTCTCCTGAGGACAATACAGGTGTGCTTTACACTTTACCCTTTACACTTTACGGTCCTTGTAAGAGGGAGACCTGCACCGTTTTGCCACTACACCTATTATCTCCTAGCTCCCCTTGACGTGCAGGTCCTGACGGGCAAGTGATCCAATCAATCAACAAGTCTGGCATACAGTGTAGCCTCTGTTAAGTGCTGAGGCTACAAAGATTTAAAAAACAAACTAATCTCAAAGAATTATGACGTTCTCTGCAGGAGTTTACATTCTGCCTAGACCAGGTCTACTTCTGTACTATATAACATGTTTCCATACTCCTGGATACATTTTTTAAAAACGTACATTTTGCCCCCCCGTATTCCTAGCACGTCAGCCTATCTCCTGTTTCGGAAGGCGGGGAGGAGCCCCTTAAGTTTCGGGTTCACGACTCATGTTTGTATTTCAGTTAAAACTCTGTTTATCACCAGCCACAGTGAAGAGCAACCGAAGGAGGCACTAGATGGCATTTAAAAAAACAAACATAACCAACGAGTGGAGCTGCTGCTTTTACCGGCTTCCAACCGACTAGGATCCATTTATCACATCCTTAGCTGTGGGAGACCAGGGGGTGGAGCCCGGGACCTGTGTTCAAATCCTGCCAATGACACTTTCTAAAAAACCCCAGGCAAAGTCACTCTCCCCGCCCGAGGCTCAGTCTCCTCCTCAGTAAAACGGGCAGGAGTCGGTAGAGCGGAGCCCGCCTCCCTCACCGGGTAACTGGGAGGCTCAAATGAGAAAATACCGCTTGCCCAACTTGAAAGCGCTTTATAAATTATTTATTAATCTTTAGTTATTAGTAGTTTTTTTTTTTTTTTAGTTACTCTCACTCTGGGGCCCCGGAATCAGACCCTCGACGCCCGCCGGCCTCCTCACTCACATCCCTGGGTCAGGAGAGGGGACCCGGTCGGGGAAGCGGCCTCCAGACCAAACCGGGTCCCAGCCCCCGACTCCTCTCGGCGCCGCGGCGCGTCCGCCCGGCCGCCATCTTGCGACCCGAGCGCTGGCCCCCACCCAACGGCCTCAGCCTCCTCGGGCTGGGGGAGAGAGAACATCCCCTCACCTCTCCTCGCAGTCCCTGCACTTCACCTGCAGCGGGACCAGCTGTCGAAACAGAACCTGACTCATGGTGGACCGCCCGTCCAGCTGCAGAATGGTCCTGCCCGGCCCAGCCCCGCGTCGCCGCCGCCGCCGCCGCCGCCGCCTAAGGAGCCCCAAGCTCGCTCCGCACTGTTTGAGTTTGGCGCTGGGCTCCCGCGGAGGGGGGCGGGGAGAGGGCGGGGAAGAAGAAGAAAGCGACGGCGGCTTTTGGCCCTCGTACGTCACTGTAGCCTACTTCCGGTCGGGAAGGGCCAGATGCTTCCGGTCGTTGCGGCTGTTCGCCGCCCGCCCTGCTTGTAGAGAATCAGAATCCGGTGGGTCTGGGCTGCCGGAAGCCCGAAGATGGCTGCCACGCCGACGGCGATCCCGGTCCCGATCGAGGGCAGATGCAGTTACTTTGTGGAAAAGAAGAATCGCTTCTGCCGGATGGTGCCGGCGGCAGGGAGACGGTTCTGCGGGGAGCATGCCGGAGCTGCGGGAGCGGGCGCGGAAGTAGGGACCCCCTGCCCTACCCGGCGAGGCTGAACTGTTTCTTTGCAATATGTTAATAATGATGAAAATAGCCAACATTTATATAGCGCCAACTATATACCAGGCACTGTACTAAGCGCTTTATTCATTTGAAACGCTCTCCTCTGCTCCGCCTGCGGCTGCCTTTAAGTCTCAACTGAAAATTCCGCTTTCTATAGGAAGCCTTTCCCAACCCCTCTTCATTCCAGTGCTTTCCTTCTACTAATTACTATCTCGTAATCTATGTCGTGTATATACATATACATACCTACATATATATATATTTATATATAATCCACACACTGTCTCACTTTGCATATATTTGTATGTTGTCTTCTCCATTAGAGTGTGAGCTCCTCGAGGGCAGGGACTTTTTGCCTCTTTGTATCCCCCGCTTAGTACAGTTCCTGGCACATAGTAAACGCTTCATAAATGTTTATTGATTGATCCTCACAGCAATCCTAGGATGTGGGTACTATTATTGTCCCCACTTTGCAGTTGAGGAAATTGAGGCAAACAGGTTAATCGACTTGCCAAAGGTCACACAGCTGAGGCTAGATTTGAATTTAGGTCTTCCTGACTCCAGGTCCAGCTCTCTATCCATGGATACTGGGAGAAACAATAACATAGCTTGGTACTTATAAAGAGAATTAATGGAGTGTAGTGTCAGCAGGGGAGGTGCTTACATTGGGGGTGGGTGGAGGGAGGCCTTTTGAAGAAGGTGGAATTTGAGCTGAGTCTTGTAGAAAGCCTGGGAAGCCAAGGCAGAGGTAAGGAAGGATAGAAGGATCATGTTCCTGTAACTTCGAATAGTCCATTACAGCCTGGATCTATGACAGTTTGGAAGGGGAGTAAAATGTAGGAAGACTGAAAAGGTTAGAAGGGGCCAGGTTATGAAGAGCTTTAAATGCCAAAGAGAGGACTTTATATTTGATATTAGAGGCAATGATTCATGTTTCTTAGCCACAAAGAAAGATACACCTGACATAAGTAAGAGTGCTGAACTTCAAATCTCACCTCTAGTACTGACTTTATGCAGATCACTTAGCCTCCCTGAGACTGTTACCTTTTCTTCAAAAGGGGATAATACCTATGTTACCTCACAGGGCAGTGATGAGGTGAAATTGAAATGTATTTAAGATAGCTCCCTCCCTTTCAGTGCTCTCCAGGGCTTGATCACTTAATTCTGAGTGAGAACATGTGATGCTCTAGTGACTAGCTTCAAAGCATCTGAGAAAAATTAGCTAGCCACTGGCTCCCTTGACACAGACCGGAAGTCTGAAGGAAGGAAGGAAGGAATAAACAAAGATTAGAAAAATGTTTCTGTCCAATGGAATTTAAGCTCCTTGAAGGCATGTTTTCATTTGCCTTTGTATCACCAGCTTCTAGCATAATGCTTGGCACATAGCAGGCATTTAACAAATGATTATTTGATTTAAATTCAATTCTGGGTCCAGTCTATCTGTTCAGCTTATTTAAGAGACTTATCTAACTTTATAAGCTGCTCGTTCTGCATATCAAAATCTCAGCAATCTGAATTTTTGTATACTTTCTCAAGTTGGATAGTGGTTGTTGCTTTCACTGAATTGAACAATGTAATTAGGATAATTTCATTTATGAATAGAAACCAACCACAGAGAATCTTTTGTTTGATCTTTTTATTAGGATGTCTTCCTTGATATTGTTGAGCACATGTGAATAGAGTTTTGTTTTGTTTTGTTTTGTTTTTTCAATTAAAGGCTACTACTGCCCAAGAAAAAAATAATTAAGAAACACTTACCAATGAAGGGCAACTTAGAACTAAAAACTCAGTAGGTAAAGGATGGTGGAATCGTGAGAAAAAGCACAGTTCATCTGCTTTTAAGAATGAGGCAAGTGATTTTTCAAAATTCCATGATGTGGTCACTTACTGTTAAAACATAAAGAAATGTGAGAGAACATAAGCTATAAAGGAGAAAAAGGTAGTTCTAAAATAACTGGAGTATGGTAAAGAAATTTAGTGTCTGTAAGGATAGTTTCTGCTTTTCACATACCCAAGTCCAACTGAGTTTCTCGGAGTTCCAGCCCTCCTACACATGGTTTTTCCTGTAATTATAGTGAGATCAAACTCCTCTGAAGTGATTCTGAGTCTCGTTTAAGAGACTCATAAATGTTCCAAGTTTGATTCAGTCAGCATAATGTCATCTACAAAGCTGGAATATCTGGAGGACCTTACCATCTATATGGTTATATATATATTCTTCAGCTTGGAGTCTGCTGAATCTCTTCCATGACAGTGGTGAATACCTTCAGCAAGCACTCATCTCTCTGTTTAATACCTTGCTTAGTATTAATCATCAGTCATTGAAAAAGTTATCTCTTTTGTTATAGCTTTCAGGATATCTCATGTGGTTGTGACATATGGATAGGAGAAAGTGTAAAATAAGAATTCATAAGGCAGTATTTTGCTCTTTCAATCAAATCTTTTTTTATATTCAAACAATAAGCACAGTGGGGTCTGATGTTACATATATAATTCAGTCAACTGTGTGACTGTAAAGATGTGCTCTCCTATGGGATATTGCTTAAGAAAGTCTGTCTGTTCCATTCTCATATTTTCCACAAGGATACCTTTGATGAGTTTATAGATTTTTTTCATAAAAATTTTGAATAGATGGATAAGTAAACATAAGTTGGTAGCCCTTGATATTTACTGTATTACCATTTTGTTCTCACATTCTTGGTTTCCACTTGTCTTTCATGCCACCTTGAGAATCAGTTCCATTATATTGTGAGCTCTTTAAGGGCAGAGACAGTCTTTTGCCTATTTTTGTATCCCCAGTGCTTAGCACAGTGCTTGGCACATCGTAGGCACTTAATAAATGTTTATTGACTAACTGGGCAGTCTCTCAGTTCCCTCAAAAACTGTGTTGCCTCTTGTTATGGACCACCTCTGTGTATCGTTGGTCTAGTTCAGCTTTTGTCCTCTTCATGCTGTTCTCCCTAGATTTAGTGGCTCTACTAGGTGAGTCATTTAGCTGGGCTCCCTGGGCCTATTCCTCACTACATTTTAACTCCCAATGACCAGAGCCAATTCCATCAACTCACAACACTCCTATTTTGTCTTGAATCACTAGGCTAGTTACCTCCTGGATATAATTACTTCTTCTGAGCAAGTATCTCCACTTCAAGATACCATGGTCAATGGGAGGTGGGAGATGAGGGGGAGGAGAGAAAAATCCCTTTCCTTCCAGAGGCCAAGAACAGTTCTATTGATTGGGTTCTTCTGTAGCTGGCTGTCTTCTCTCCTGACAATTCACACCGTGCCTCAGGCCTCCTCCCCACTTCTGCTTTGACTGGGTCCCTAGAGTGTCTTTTCTAGCCAACAAATGACTAGCTTCTCTCCAATTCCACCAAGCTTGATTGTTGAGCGTTCCTTCACACTTTGTAAAGAGCATACAAAATGTGTATACTGATTTGCATTTCAGTTAAGACTTTAACACCTTATTGTCTTTGTTAACTACCCATTACTGTCCTATAATTTAATAAGTGATTGAGAAATCAATTGATCAGGAGTCTCCTGATCACCTTCCCCCCCACTATAATAATTTTTAGCATAATTTCAATTCATTTTAAAAAAATTTAGCATTTTGACTGACTACTATGTACAAGGACCTGGTCTAAATTTGAGGGAGTCAGCTAAAAATGAAATAGCTTCTGTCCTAAAGGTGCTTCCATTTTACTATGTAGGTAAAAAATGTAAGCAGAGAGGTAAATATATAAAGTAATTTGTGAAGGGATAACATTAACCATAAGGAGGATACAGAAAGGCTTCATAAATGAATTGGCACCTACTCAGAATATTATAAGAAGGTAATTCAGAGAAGTGGAGATGAGATAGGTGGTCATTCCAGGACAGGAGGATGGTTTATGCAAACACAGGGAGGTGGAAGATGAAATAGCAGATTGGGGGAGCAGCTCAGATGCCAGTTTGATTAGAAGAGTGTGAGAAAGGAGATAATATGAATTAAAGCTAGAAAGGTAGGTTTGAACAAGACTGCAAAGGTCTCTAAATGCTGGTATAAGTTTCTGTGTTTTTCTTGAGGGGCAATAAGGAGTCATTGGTTTTGAACCAGGGAATGTCATAGTTAAACCTGTCATTAAGAAGATTGTCTTCCAAACTCCAGGATCAGCATTCAATTCACTTTGCCACCTAACTGCCCCCAAACCCCGCCTCCATATAGCTGTCTAAAAAAATCTCTGAGTCACTTGCATAATGTTAACAGCCCTAGGACAGTGATGAGATTACCACAATAGTTTACAAAAAAGAAGGGAGCCCAGGGCATAGCTTTGTGGGAATTAACATGTAGAGGGCGAGAACTGGATAACAAGCCAGAGTGGAACGGGTAGAACAGGTAGGAAGAGAAAGAATATTGTAAAATTTAGCAGGAAATATCCAAGAAAAGAGAGGTGGTAAGCAGTGTTGAATGCTGCAGAGGAGACTTCAAAAAGAGTAAGTACTAAGATTTATCAGTTGAGATTGTTAGTGGCTTTGGAGGAAGCAGTTTCAATAAAATGATGAAATTGGAAGCATAGTAAAGGATAAAATATGAGTGGGTAGAGAGAGGGTGGAGGCAATAATTGGAGGTGGGGCCAGCGAGTTGGCACATTGGATAGAGCATCGGCTCTGAATTTAGAGGGACCTGAGTTCAAATCCGGCCTCAGACACATAACACTTGCTAGCTGTTTGACCCTGGGCAGGTCACTTAACCCCATTTCCTAGCCCCAAAAAAATAATAATTGGAGGTGAATCTAGCTGAGCAGTGGAAGGAAGCAAAGATATAGGACGATATCTTGAAGGAATTTTAGGGTCAAGTGAAGGTTTTGTGTTTTGTTTTTTGTTTTTTTAAAGATGAGGGAGACCTGGGCATGTTTGTAGGCAGAAAGACAAGCATTCAACCTCAAGGGATAGGAATGATTTCAGGGGTAAGTTCTTGGAAGAGATGAAAGGAGGTGAGGTCACCCTTGTCATAAAAGATGTATAGATATTTTGAAATTTGGCATAGGGGAGATGAAAGAACTTGTAATCTGCTGAGTGACGGGGTGGCATGTACCAGGGAGATAAAAGATTCAAAAGTGGAGGACATTGTTTAGTTGAAATTAGACAAGATTATGAAGGTGGGAAAGTGAAACCAAAGCAGGGGTGATAGATTGGGAAAAGAGACGGATAGAGTTGCTAGAGGGTGTAGTGAGGATAGGAAAGTGAGGGAAAAAAAATTGAAAGGACATTATGATCAGAGAAGAGTAAGCTTACTATTTCAGCTAAATAAATGAATTCTTTTTAACCTAGGAAGAAAATACCAGGAAAAGAATACTCTGTCCCCTAGATCCAAAACAGTAAGTAGGGGCTAAATAAACAAAGAATTTTCTGTATTTTAAATACAGCTCCTACATATTTGTATTTGAAAATAACTATTTTCTTAAATTTAGCACAGTGTATGAAGATCAGCTTGAAAAACATTTGAAAAAATGTAACTCAAGAGAGAAACCAAAACCAGTAAGTATCCTCATCAGTAGAAAAAAAATGCCTTGAAATATATTATGTAACATTTTTATATAATAAAAGCTCACATTTATATATCATCTTCAGGTTTATAGATGCCTTTTTTCACAGAAATTGTATGAAATATATAGATCGTTTTAGAGAAAAAGTCAGAGAGAAAGTGATTAAAGCAGAGATTAAAGAGATTAAAGCCTTACATAGATTGGTTTTTGGTAATGGTCATTTTAATGTTTTTTTGTGTGATTCAGTTCTGTGAAGCTACTTATAGCTCTACTTCAAGGAATGGGATTTTTATAGATATTAGAGTTTTCAAATAATTAGCTTATTATTTTAATTAGTGGTGACACTAGTAGTTAAAATTTCTGTCATTGCCTGAGCAGATGAATATAGGACATTTATAATCAAGATATAGCACAAATACAATCTGGATTATATCTTGTAGCAATTCTAATAATAATTCATATTTATGCAATGTTTTAATGTTCACAAGTTGCTTTCCTCACATCATTTAAAGGAAATAATTGTAAATTTTTTTCACTGTTGTACAGATAAAACTGAGACAAAGAGAGGTTAAGTGACCTCCTTTTCTTTGGTCACAGTTATCAGAACTAAGCTTAAAACCCAGATTTTCTGACTCCCAATCCAGGGTTCTCTGTACTTTATCCCATATTGTCTCATATGCATTTCTGCAGATGTAAAAGGATGTGCTTTACATCTCCAGAAATGGATTATAACTGAAAGCAAAGAACTCTATCCTGACAGGATTATCAAATGGGATCATTCAGTAGTGTTGTTATTGCTCAACTTGATCTCCCAAGGCAGACCTGAATGCAATGAACGGAAGCTGCAGAGGTGAATTTGGGCTTGGTGTAAGGAAAAACGTCCTCACAGTTGGAGATCTTTAAAAAGGAAATGGACGACCTGACAGGGTAGTGGGTTCCTTCTCACTGGACTGCTTTCAGGCACAACCTGGATATCATGTGTGTTGTATAGAAGATTCCAGTTCAGGGTGGATTGAACTTGGTAACTTCTGAGGTTCTGATATCTAGCCCCTGCCATCTTGCAGTTAGAGAGGTCCCGTTATATTAGCTCATACAACGGCATTTTTTGACCTTTTTTGTGTCGTGAACCTCTTTGGCAGTCTGGTGAAACCTCTGGACCCCTTCTTGACGTAATATATATGTTTTTTAATTTGTAAGTGAATTAGGAAATGCTAAATATAAGTTAGAAGTTTAATAAAAATAAACATGTAGTGTGTTTTCCATCAAAGTTTATGGACTCCCAGTATTTATGGACCCTGTTAACTTATATTCTGTCTCACATTTCTCTTTTCCATTTTTATTGATTACTTTAGGGAATAAAGAAGCCATGTTCACATTATCACATTGTTCCTATTCACGCCTTAGTTTTTCTTAATGCTGCCATTCCCAGTCAGTCAACAAGCATTTTTCAAGGGCTTACTGTGTGCTAGGCGCTATGCCAAGTGGTAGGGATACAAAGAAAGACAAAAATTAGATTGTTGCCCTCAAGAAGCTCACATTCTAACGTGAGCAACATGTAGATAACTTTGATACATATATAGGGAACAGATGGAAAGTAATCTTCAAGGGGAAGGCCTAGGGTACAGCCATGTCAAAGGCACAAAGACAGGAGATGGTGTGAGATGTGCAGATTAAGAGTCTTAGAGGGTTGTAAGGCACTGAGGGGTTAAGTCACTTGCTTATAGGGAATTTTGAGCTGCATCTCCCAAGTCAAAGAAAAATGTTAAAAGTAACTAAAAATGGACAGATTACGTGTTGTGCAACTAGAATCAGAATCATTCAGGACTAGACATGAGCTATGCGAAAGAAAAGATTAGAATACAATCTGAAGGTCAAAAGAAAATGTCTTATACTCGAGAGTAACAACTTGCAGAATTAGTGGGAAAAGTTAATGGAATTGATGACTTCCAAACATTCCTTTTGAGAGATTCAGAGCTGAAATCTCTTTGAAAGGTAAATTCAGTGGACAACAAAAACTTAGAAAGTTATGTTTATTACCTTCAAATGTTTGGCTGGATGAGTACAGCTGGAGAAAGCAAAGGATAGCAGAGTTACTAGATCATAGCGAAGAAGACCAAACCCATCCACTTTTTACAAATAAAACGTTTATCCTGTTGTATTTCCCTCCTCTTTCTTTTTGCAGTGTTCTCGTTTACAGTGTGTTATCCTAGGCATGGTATTTAGCAAAAATGTTTTGCAAAGAGTGGAGACGATGGCAAAGGAAGCCACTAAGCATATTAATGCACCAACTACAGAACAGTTGTGATTATTTCTTCCCTTTAACTTGTGAACAGTAAGACATGATACTTTGGAAAGGCCAGGTGTGAAAGCTAGCTGTTAAAATGAATTTCATCGTTTCATAGATTAGAAAGGATTAAAAGTGATATGGTATTTCAAAAATGCTGCAGGAATTAAGCAAAATGATTAATTAAGATATTTAATAACTTTAAGATCACAGCATATAAATTTCCTTTTTGATATTTCTCACAAAGTCCCAAAACACCAAAGCATTTTTATGGGAAGATAAAATGACATCTGACTTGAACATTTTTTTTTCTTTAAACAAAAGCATCTTCAAGTGGGGCAGAAGTAATTGGCAGAAAGATTAGGAGGTATTCCAGGACTTGAGAAAGGCATATATACAATTTTTCAGAAAGGGAAGGGAGTGGCATTGCAAAATGTAGACCTGTGAGCTGGTCTTTTCCCCTGAAATTTATTTTCTAGAACCTATTAAAGGGTTTCTAAGCACTTAGAAAGTGAACCTGTGATTATTAAAAATCAGCATAACTTCATAAAAAACTAGATCATGCCAGACTAACCTCATTTCCATTTTGGATAGGGTAGACTTCCCTTTTTGGTAGACTCAGAGAATACAGTGGGCATAATAGATTTAGACTTCAGTGAAGCGTTTGCCAGAATCCTGTGCTGTCTAATAAGATGGAGAGATATGGGCTAGAAGATATTATGGTTAAGTAGGTTTGTAGCTGGTTGATTGAATAGACGCAGGAATAGTCATTAATGGGTCAATGTCAATTTTAGATATATTTAAGTATTATTATACCAAATTTAGTTGACTTTTTCTCTGTTTTTCTTAAGGATTATTTTATTCAAGATATTAATGCAGGATTAAAAGATGAAACAGAAATTCTTGATGAACCAGTAAGTACAATGATTCATTATTTAATTTAAAAACAGATATCAAGACAGTCCCCAGTCTATGAATGTGTTGTTGTAAAATTAGTTTCTGAGTTGATTATTTGTAACTTTTAATTTTCTCATTGAAACAGTATTAAGTTAGCAAAATTCTCAAGCTAGCCACTCCCCCCCATACACACACACACATATGTACTCACGCGCTCACACACACTCACCATTCTATTTAATTTATAATTAAAAAGTTAGTTAAGTATCTTTTAAGTGCTTACTATGTGCTAAGCACTGAGGCTGCAAAGAAAGGCAAAAAAGTGGTCCCTGGGAGACGACATTCAAATAGCTATATGTACAAGATAAATACAGCATAATGTGAAGGTAAACTTAGCAGGAAGGTGCTGGAGGTGGAATTTGAGCTGAGTCCTCAGGGAAGCCAGTAGGTAATGGAGAGGAGAAATACCATTCCAGGCTTGGAGGAAACCAGTGAGAAGATGTTTGGGAGATGTTTGGGAGATAAGAGTACCCAAGAAGGCTAGTGTAACTGAATCATAGAAAGCAACTGAAAAGGTAGGAAGGGGCCAAGTTGTGAAGTGTTCTATATGCCAAACAGAATTTTATATTTGATCCGAGAGAAAACCAGAAGCCACTAGAATTTATTGAGTAGGAAGTGAGGGGTGGAAGGTAATATGCAATGCTTCAAGAAAATCATATTGTTAATAGCCATGAACTCGGGTCCCTATCCCCTTTAAGGCTAAATGCTATGCCCTAAGCATCTCTGACTTTGATGTAATGATAAAAAAAAAAAATCTAAGTGGGTTAAATGGATCCAAGTAAGTGGATTAATCTGATCTAACTAAGAAAATAATACTGAGAGAAAAGGAAAGGAGGAGGCAGACAAGGGTAAATTACAT